AACCTTATATTAAAATTGGATTGCCGGCCGGCGCGACCAACGAAGCGACGAGAAATTAATTTGTCCGCTCATGCTCGTCGGGGCATTCTTTTGCGCTCCATATATTTCGCGTGATTTACAAGAAATCCCGAGCCCGGCGTGCAACCGTAGAACCATGGGACCGTACTCTGCCCAAGGACATGCAGGACAAAGGAACTCAGAGCATGTCATGGTAATTTGGAATTATTTTCGTTTTGACATGACTGACATGAGTCGAGGGGAGTAGATAATTGAGGTTATGGTTGTATATCCGCTGATGGGTCAATTTGAATGCGCGCATAGACTCGCACAACTCAATCGAGATCGTCTTCTTGGGCCTGGTGCGCTTGGGCATCTTCGGTTTGTGTTTTATTACTCCGGTGCGCGGCGGTTCTCTCCCTGCTCGCGTGTTCCACACGCCGGAGAGTAAGACATTCTGCGCGGAGATTGGTCTCCGTCCGCTTGGGTGGTCGGCTTCCCCGCCTGCGCGAGCTCTTCTCCGCGGCGCGATCGCCGCGACCAAACAGTCGAGTTCGGACCGAACGCACGAGACGAGCGTCGCGGTGCTGTTGCGGTGCATTTACGCGAGTTTGCTGTGATGTGACAGTTGTGACACTCGTGTGTGTGTCAGTGTGACAGTTTTCCACGATGTGGAGACGCCAGGACGATGGGATTACCCGAGTTTCGCGCGCGATCACACGCCGACTTCGATGCGCCGTCGTGCGACGAACTCAGCGATAAGCGAACTTCACACAACATCATACTCATGTTATAATTTTATTGTAAGTGGTTGCAAGTTTTTCCACGCGCGCGCAGACAATTGTTGGTCATTGCGCGATCGAGAGCGTTTTGTTGTTTTGCGGCGGGCGCGCGAAGTAAATGATGATGAAGTTACAAAATCCGGTTTCTTCCACGCGCGCGCACATCGCGCGCATCCTTCTTGTGTTGTTCTTCGGCGAAGAGAGCGCGCGGCCACGGCGTAGGGCATAATAAAGTCGTTTATCATTTTAACTTGGAACGCCCAACTGATATCCGATCTGGCTTATATTATTTTTTATGCGCCGCGCCACACCGCGTGTTGCAGGATAATTCCCAGCTAGGAAATCGTCCATTTCCACTGGCACACATTGTTGTATACATTTATTAAGATTAAGATTTACTCGGTGCGCACAGTTGTAGATTCATGCTCATAAATTAAGTGAGATATGAAACCTTCTCAGCCCGGGACAATCAAATCGAAGCGAATGAAATCACAGAAACAATGCTTCATCAAACTGCCGACTTGGCAGCTGGTGGTAACATTTTTAACTATTAGATGAAAATCGAAGATTAAATCGACGTTGAAATTGCTTTGAATCTTGGCATTGTTAGTTTTATTAGATGCTAACGTCTCGGCTAGAATTTTAACATGGAAATAAAATGTGTACGGTTGGCTTTTAGAAGACTACCGCGACTTCTGCGTTTTTGTGACGCCTTCCTGACTTTGCCGCGGACTTCTGTTAGAAGCGCAATAAAACAACCACTAGACTGCCGAGGAGATATTTTTTCTGTCGCCTTTAATTGCACCGCTAATAAATATAAAATTTAGAAACGAAAAGCATTGCGCTCCGTGTATATATGGTGCTGGAATTATGACATTAGTGAAGGTTTTAAACTCGGAAACTTACCGAGAGCGAGAAATGAAGTGTGGAATTTGTCCGCGTCTCTTCGCTCGTAAATGGAAAAAGCAATAAGCATTTTTCATTTCGTTTCCTTCATTTTCGTTTCATTGCCGCTCATTTATAAGACTACCGAGGACATGACGTTACTGGGAGAGGCATGCTTAAGAATTTGCGAGATACGTGCATTATTGCCGCATTATTGCATTACCGACGGTCAGAAATCATCCAAGATGGCCGGCGCGCTGAAAAAACAAGATTCGATGATGATGATGATGATGATAAATTGCTTTCAGTATTAACAAAAACTATGAAAAATTGTTAAAACTCTAAAAAAACTATAAACCCTTGTAGATATTAGAGTTAAATTTATATAATATTATTAAGTGCTTGTGTCCCTTCCTCAATTTATGTATGCCCTTTTTCTGTAGAGCCTAACATTCTCTTTGTTGCTGGTTTTGACAAAATTATGTGAGCGATCACGTTACATGTTACACCTTGCGGCGCTGCCATGCTGAGATTCATATAGCACTGCCATCCGCATAAAGCACTCCATCTCTGATTTCTTGTTTTCTTATTTTTTCCGTCTCGCGTTTGCGTCGAGGGTTCTAAACGCGATCAATGGCAAGCGATGCTCGCGCACAGATAAGCACAGAGATGATATTTATTTGGTTGTCCGGTTGGTGTATAAAGATGCAACCCAACCTACTACAACTGCATGTATCCAGATGTTTGGTTATGATAAGACGTCTTTATTAAATTCAATATTATAAAATTATATTTTTCACTCGCTGTACTTTGGAGCGTTTATTTACGAGTTTTACATGCACTTGACTTAAATTTATAGGTGATAAACGTTGCGCGACTGGGTTACATTGTAGGTGAAGTTAAGTTGGCTTTGTCTGTCGCGCTGTGGCTGCAAGATTAATTTTTACATCTCGTCGCGCGTTTTTCAATTTCTTTCGCCGCGAATGCGTGTGTTTAAGTACTCACTCAGTGTACGCGGCGCGGCGACTTAAGTCGCTTTCGGTTTGTTGGCTAGTCGTATCTATACGACTGTCCAGCCCGCGACGGGCCCGGTACTTCGGGTTGATAAACGAGGGATTAGTTTGTCTCCTTCGTATATTGATGAGGTGCGTTTCGGATGCGTGCGTTAAACCTTCACCACAGAATCCCAGCAGACGCATATAACGAGAGAAAAAAAAAACGAACACAGAAACAACGAAACGTGGGAATCGACATTCTCACGCTTGGCACACACAACATTTGGAACATTTCCGAGTGTCACGAGACCAAAATTCAAGTTAAGTCAGTTTAGCGATGAAAAATTAACGTTTGAAAATTGGTAGACATTTACGATCGCTTCGAGCGCGTCTTAATTGCTTGACCAATGACCAGACTCTTGTGGCTAGTTCTGAATTTAATTCTCAATTCGGAATACTAACTTAAGTCACTATTCGATTACGATTGGAGTGGTTTGTGCAGCGCGGTTCGAGTCAATTAAAGCGTCGACGGTCGCACACGTCTCTTGCATTTTTAACTTTCAGGCGAGTTAAATGCCGGCGACTTGGTATTGGTCTCGGTCGCTGAGCGTCGCAGGTATTGGGTCTTAAATCGCGAGATAAGGTCCTATTAACACCTACGGTCACGTGACTCGCGCACTCCGCGCTTATCTCGACTTCTACCACAGCGCATTTACTTACTTTAGCCAAGCCAGCGGAGTTTAAGTGTAAGCTTTAGTCTTACTTAGCTTTAGTTACTTAAGCGTGCATTGCTCGGAGGGTGGGTCTCTTAATTGGCATATCTGATGCGCGAAGTGGATTACATCGCGTCGAGGCGAACTTTAAGTAAAGTGCGACCGGAGGAAAAAAGTGAGGTGCGCACGATTTTGCGTGCGCACGTATAAATATTGACGCTTGATTAAGTTTTAACGTCTGCGCCGCAAAGATTACGCCTTAATTAGTTGATGTTTATTGAGGCGTCGGGCGACAGATGTCGCTACATGGATTTGTTTCCGTTGAAGACGGCTTAACTTATGTAAAACAGGCCTAAATTCGATAATCAGCTTAACCAAATATCAAAAAATCCAATTATCATAAAAAAAATCAGATTTAAATGTCATCTATGTTAAGAATGTCGATTGCGACACTTTCTCAACAAATTTTATTGACATTTCTAAAACATGTTTCTCTCGACTCCTACGTTTGAAGCATAGAAAATTTCAAAATTTTCGAAACTGGTTCATTTTGTCGATAAAAATGGTTTCAGTGTTAAAAGTCACTTAGCAGTGACATTTTTGTTGTTCGTTTTCGTCCGCCAGGTAGTCTCGGCCAGGTATAAGCTCGGCGACTCTTTTACAATAAAACGCGCGCCCACGCACGGTAACCGAGACGAAGTCCGAGATAAGCGAAACGTACTCGTGCTCGAACAGAAAACTCTTCGGAGTTTATCACACCGAAAGCAAAACATAAAATAGAGTAGTGCTACATATACAACAGAGCATTTTAAAAACGTTATGTTTTATGGGCTATTCGCCAGATGGCAGTATATTAATTAAGCTTGATTAGTAGGTGTTTTTTCTTCGCTGACGTTTTGATTTTCATGATTGAAACGAATAGAAATCGCATTAATCAGCCGCAAGTGGTGCGTGAATTGCGCGCCCTGTCGAGCATCATTTGCACTCCACTTCGTTAACTCGATGAGAGTGGCAGGCAGCGAGGACTTTGGCCGGACTTTACTTCAGCTCGATTCGATTCGCGGCGATTGGTCGTCGCCAGTTTGTTGCGCGCTAAATAAATAGAGTGCATATAAATTATTCAAACGCCGGCCGGGAGAACGCGCACAACACAAACGCGCCTGCATTATGCATTTCACATTCGCATTCCGCACGCTTTATTTACTTAACGTTGCGACTTGAGCGCAAGCTCGAATCCGTAAACGCAAAAAATTCTTGAGCGCGCTAGCAGAATCTTGTAGGTACTAGCGCTCGTTTGAGGTTATGCGCGCTCGTTTGTGTTGCATTTTCAATGCGACTGCTCGATTGAGATACGCGGGGGCGTTGCTGTCGCATTTACATTTACAATTCCGACGTCGACGCTGGGACGTGCAAAATGCTGTGTTCTCGGCGCTCTAATCAGCATGCGCTTACGCATGCGCATGATGCAATTTATCGGTCGGTTGTGTTGTCAATGTTATGTTTGTGAAACGCGTTTGTCGCTTGTCACTCGTCGTCGAGATGAATTACATGCTACATCACTCACAACAGAATGAAATCAAAATTCTGTGATTTTTATATGAAATAAAAATATTTTGTTGGTTTTGCAGGGTGAGTGGAAGTCCTGGCGGCGGACTCCAACTGTTGGGAAGGGAACTCCATCCCGCCTATCGCCTGCCACACCACATGGAGTACATCTACTCGCTGCAGCATTCGACGGCGAATATTCACGGTAAGTCCACCCCTAGATGGCGTTACTTTGTAAAATGTATTGTTTTGCGCATGGTGGCGGCCATTGCTGTTTGTTTAATATGTTCGATGTTTTAGTTCTGTCTAGCGCCACGCAGACGCACTTCTTGTCGTCGTAAACGTCGGCCGTCGCCATGGTTGTGCATTTTTTATAGCTCTGCACGCCGCCGCTCGCCGGGATATTTTAATATCTAATAAAATAATGCACACGCCTGCCAGCACGCCGTGATATTATTCCTTCTCTTGCGTCGCAAGTTTATACAATAAACTATACGATTTTATTGTTTGACGTTTATTTACACGTGCGTGCACGCCGCGCTTTCGATTTTCAAGTCCAATTCCGAGGTCTCGAAAACGCCTCGGCGTCGAATTCGATCTTTATTAAATTTACGCAGCGACCGCGCTCGTAAAATGCAAACAACGAGGCCTACGAACGCGACTTTAAACTCTCCGAGCTTAGCGTAAGCTCGAATCTCAAGAACGCGCACGCTGATCATATCGCCTCTTTTATTCGTTGTGATTCTTGTTATATCGCGGTAATATGCGAGTAGGCACACCTTGCTTAGACGCGAATCGCGTAAACTATCATTATTACACCTGGCGAACACTAATTGTATAATAATTGAAGCGTAATTGAAAGATAATTGTTAGGCAATCATCATAACACCTCTTCATAATTGAATACTCAACAAGACAACTGCTTTATTTACAGCCGCTATTATTATTTCCTCTATTGTTGTTGATTCCGATGTTTTTATGTAGCAAAAATCATTTTCCTGTAAATAATGTTGTTTAATTGAAAATGTTGCCGCATTAATAGACTCATTTCTTATAATAGCCCCGTAGTTGTGGGTAGGAAACGGCAGTCGCGCATTCAATTACATGGAGTATTATTAGTATTCCAGAAGCGAGACGTGCGCGCCGGACGAACCTCCGACTTCCATGCAACTCGCGTGGACGCATGGACGCCAGCTTCACCTCGTTACGATGCGGACGCTTCGGAATATAATAATAATATCGCCACAACCGCACCGGATACGCGCGCGCACGAGGCGTAGGTGGTACTAAAATTACCTACAACTACAAAGCATCCAGTGGTCTTTTGTTGTTTTATAGTTTATAGGGGATGCCTAAGTACGCCCGCATATTGATATCAAATTTATGATAATACGCACTAAATAATGGAGGAAGTCTTTTGTTTTGGCGGCGCGCGCGTACCGTTTCCCGGGCTAACCAACACGATTTAATCTGCAGCTGAAGACTATGAAGAGAAAATTGAATTGCAATAATAAATTCATTGCATAATTATATTTATGGCGTAATTGTGATCGATAATTAAATTACGTTATACTCAACCCAGTGTATATTAAATTGTCTCGTTGTCTCAATTTAAAATATAATTTTCCATGCAGATGAGAGAAGAGTACAAGGTGTGTTTTAATAACTCAGATATAATTTCGTGTCAGTTACCGTACTCGTTTGTGAGCTCTTCACGTTTTGATTATATAACTATTTTAAAATAAATAATAATGCGGAAGATAAACAAATCATTACAACTCTTTTCGAAAAACAACAAAGCAGTTTTTGAAAAAACAAAAAAGTGTCAACCGCCAAAAGTTGTGGAGGCAAATGGTGTTGCGCCTAAAATTAACGCGTTTGAACGCATTAAGAAGTCGTCATGTCGACAGGCTCGTGGCGAGCATGGCGTGGCGCATGCTGACAGATTAAATTTACTCTTGCGCATCGCGCAAGACGCACTGCCACGCATTATTGCCTCCTAACGCTCGGCCGGAGATTACAAAACTGAAGTTTGGAAATCGTCCACTGTCCCGCTGTCCGCATCCACGTCCACGAGAAGCCCGTTTGATTATAAATCACGCTTTGTGACTTTTAGCGACGTGCGCGCTCGTTGTCGGTTTTTGATTTTATTAATACACGCGACAACCTGACGCGTTATAATTCAAAATTACTTACCTCTTCACTGCGTTCGCTTCTAAATTAGGTTCGGATCAAGATGAATTCTCCAGTCTTGTGTGGGAAATAATTTTATTCGCGCATGCTGGAGGTAAAATTAGATGAAATTTATTCGTCTCGAAGAGTACGCGTTGCGCTTGCACGTGTTGCGCGCGAAACTCTTCGCCAGCACAGACGATTCCATTAAGACGGTAATTAGAAATTTAATAATCCCTAGCGTCGTAAATTTGTTCCTAATGCGGAGCGGTGCGAGACGCACCTGAGCCGTTTATTTACATTTTGCTTTTACGCACACCGGGCGCGTCTTTCTTTTAATTGTGCGCAACCCGCGCGTTTTATTTACGCGCGGGGTTCTAAATTGAACCGACTCGGCAGTAAAATCATTACGAGCGATAATTATATCTTTAGAAACCGCGTGCGCGGTATGCGCACATGCGAACAGGATGTGCCCAAGATGTCAGCGGTGTGATGCGCGCCACATGCTGGGAGGTTGCGTTGGTTTGTGGACGCCCTGTAGATAATGGCACATGTGTCGTGGCTTCGCTCGTTTTCATCTGTTTAAAAAGGAATAAAACAGGAGGAAGCCGTGCGTTGACTTGACTGATTGACTGAGAAACGTCAACGGTGCGCTATCATTAATTAACAAAGACCTCAACCAGAGCATATTTATACGCGAGCATGTATAATAAATTTGTTTTGTTTTATATTTTCCAGGGTTGGGATTGTCGCCAGAATATCTTGGCGCCCGAGGGCTGACAGAGTTGCACCCGGGGGCGTCGACGCTGGCGAGCAGCGACTACCCGTTCAGCATCGATGGTTCGCGGCTGAACAGTCCCCGGCCGGGGTCAATCCGGGCATCACGGAAACGCGCCCTCTCGTCATCGCCCTATTCGGATTCGTTCGATATCAACTCGATGATCCGTTTCTCGCCGAATTCGCTTGCATCCATTGTTAATGGATCGCGTTCATCTTCGGCGAGCGGTAGCTATGGCCACCTGTCTGCGGGGGCGCTTAGCCCTGCGCTTAGCATGCACCCCGGCGTTCACCTGCAACAACTCCAGGCGCATCTTATGCGTAGCGCTGGATCTCTCCTGCCTCTGCCACCAGCACCTACGGCGCCTCATCCAATGTACTCTCTGGGGCATCACCCTTTACATGTCAGCTCCTCCACGACCAATAGCCACAAGACTGATGCGTTGATGCGCAAGAAATCCGATGCCAATACGATAATTTCGGTTGATGATGGTGTGCGAAAGCCCAGGATCAAAAAGGAGCCTAATCTGGCCCCATCTTGTAATAATAACGAAGGTGGAGATCCTAGCGATTTGAAGGATGAGCCAGGGGATTTCATAGAGACAAATTGTCATTGGCGGGAGTGTGGCACTGAATTTCCCACCCAAGACGACTTGGTAAAACACATTAATAATGATCATATTCACGCGAATAAGAAATCATTTGTGTGTCGGTGGGAGGGATGTTCCCGGGCGGAAAAACCCTTTAAGGCGCAATATATGCTTGTCGTACATATGCGCCGTCACACGGGGGAAAAACCGCACAAGTGTACGTTTGAGGGTTGCGTGAAGGCGTACTCGAGGCTGGAGAACCTAAAGACGCACTTGAGATCCCACACTGGGGAAAAACCCTACACCTGCGAGTATCCAGGATGCTCAAAGGCTTTCAGTAATGCTTCGGATCGGGCTAAGCATCAAAATCGCACACATAGTAATGAGGTAAGTTTGATTACATTAGTTTAACAAATATAATAAATGAGTAAATTCAAATATTGCTCTTAACTTGCTACCCTTGGAATTGTGTAAGTTTTTCTGTAAAATCAAACTGTATTGCATGATCGTCATATTAATTTATTTTTATTTTTATTAGAAACCTTATGTCTGCAAAGCACCTGGTTGTACAAAACGTTATACCGATCCCAGTTCACTCCGAAAACACGTGAAAACTGTTCATGGAGCTGAATTTTACGCGAATAAGAAGCACAAGGGTATCGACGGCGGTTCTGATGATGGTCCTACTGGATTAGATTCATCCCCTCGCAGTGAGGATATGCAGAGTCACAAAACGGCGAGTCTTAGCTCCCCGAGTATAAAGTCCGAGTCCGACGTCAACTCTCCCGGTCATCAGCAGCAAGGAAGCCCACTGGGTGTCACACAATTGGCAGGTGGTTTTGGCGACGACCTTGCCGATGCATCCGTGCAGAGGGCAGGCGGGCCGCTGGACGATCCCGCATGGCCTTACGACGCAGAAGACCTGGAAATTGATGATCTCCCTATTGTTTTGCGCGCTATGGTTCAAATCGGATCGGATCGTGGTAGCACCGGTGGTGGTGGTGGTATGGGTGGTGGCTTTGCTAGAAATAGACTGAAGCCTCGACTCCAGGCTAAACCCATTATCCCATCATTACCACCACCGTCCGCTGGAGTCCAACGGAAAACTTTGGGAATCACCGACCTGAACAGGCGGATAACTGATCTCAAAGTTGAAGGTGGTGTTCAGACTCAGAACAACCTTAAAGGCCAAATGACTGATGTACACTCAAGATTGCAGCCTATTGGGCAGGGTCACACTCAAGCTCAAATCCGACGAGACAGTAATTCTACTGTCAGTTCGTACTACGGCAGTATGCGCAGTGCGGACATGAGCAGAAAGAGTAGTGTGGCATCGCAGGCCTCCAGTATGTTGCGCCCTGTGGCAGGACCAAGCTCATTCTACGATCCCATTTCGGCTGGTAGCTCCAGAAGATCAAGTCAGTTATCCACCGTGACGACAGGAGGCGTTAGCTTACCTCCACCACCGCCGTCTCATCTTTTGGCTGGCCAACTGCAAAAGATCCAAGCTGGTAACAAACCACCCACCCCTACAAGTAACTTGGTTCTACAGGTAATTATACAAATTTAAGTAACTATATTTAACAGATTATAACTATTTTTTATACATTTCAGACACAAAATGTTTCCCTGCAGCAGACAGCCTTGCAACAATCCTGGTTATCCATGGATTTATCGACGGTACGGCAATCTACAACTACCACACACAGTACCGACACGCGTCGAGCATCAGAACCATGTCATACGCTTACAGACCGAAAGAGCCCACCACCCCGACCTTCTTCAGTTACCCTTTCGCCACTCAAGGGCTCATGCACTGAGTTGCACCCTAATCAAGCAGTGGTTCTTGATGAGGTTGGTGAGGGAGAGATGGTAGAAAACAAACTGGTCATTCCTGATGAGATGGTTCACTATCTGAACCAAGTTGCCGACACCCAAAACGACTTCGCTGCAACTCCAAGCTGGAACGAACAGAAGCCGGTACCAAGCCCCAATGTAAATGTTAACCAGGCATTCAATCAAGCCAATGTTATGTCTCCATCGTCTAATCCAATGATGCCGGCTTCTCCTGGAAGTAATTTGAATCAGATGATTGCTTCCCCCGCAAGTAATCTCAATCAGATGATGCACTCACCAGCATCGAATCTGAATCAAATGATCGCTTCTCCTGCTAGCAATTTAAATCAAATGATGCCTTCACCGGCAGCGAATCTAAATCAAGTGATTGCATCTCCAGCGAGTAATTTGAATCAAATGATGCCGTCACCATCATCCACTTTCAATCAACAAATGATGCCTTCCCCGTCTTCGAACTATAACATTTCAAATCCTTTAGTTTCTCCCGGCGTTCAAGGAGTGCAAAATGTGGGCATTCCGCAGTCGCCTGCCTCCAATATGAGTCAGATGATGCATTCTCCGATGTCGATGCAATCGCGCTGTCATTCGCAACTGATGTCGCCAAACTCGCAACATAACGGCATGATGAAGAGTCCGGCACACTGTGCGAACAACACTAACATGTACAGCATGAACAATCACAATTGCTACAATGTGCAGGCCCAACAGCAACAAATGGGACTACAGCAACATCAACATCATAATCAGCCTCAAAATAATTGCTATATGTGGGAAAACAATATGCAGCAACCGAACCAAAATGGCGGCCAGCACAATATGTGCCAGTCGCGGAATTATCAATGTCGGCCACAATCGAGCGCGAGTTTTGTTAGCAATATGCATAATAGCAATCAACAGTGCTATCCCAACAATCAGGTCACTCACAATCATGGGCATGCGCATGTTACTCCGCATGGAGTATGCAACACAATGAATTACAACAATTGTAATCCGCAGCAACAACCTCAGCCTCCTATCAATTATTGCAACACGGCGTATACATGTGTCTCAAATGAGCCGTTAGCGTCCCCAGCAATTGCCACCCCCGCGCCGACTGACATGGTAGGCCAACCCCAGCAAGCTCAGATGGCTCGTCCGTGCAACCACTTTGATAATTGTTATCAGCGTCAACAACAGCCTCATCCCCAGATGAACCCGTGCAATTGCAGTTGTACGAATGGCAACATGTACAAATTTTCGCACGGCAAAAACGGTGAAATTCAATGTAAAGATATCAGCCAGTCACAAATGTCTCCAGGCATTGTTCCGCAACCAGTCCAAGCTCAAGGCAATATTACCGCGATACAACCTGCAAACGCGCAATCCACGAGTTTGCAACCAGTTGCAATGCGTCACGATACTTATCAACGCACTCTGGAGTACGTACAGAATTGCCAATCATGGGTTGGTGCTGGACAGAACAGCGAAACAGTGACGAGCAGTACGCATCCTTTGGCTGCCAAGTGCACTGACACCGGCAGCTCCAACATGATCATCAATGATATGACCTCATCCCTGAGCTCGCTCTTGGAGGAGAATCGCTATTTACAGATGATCCAATAACGGGAAATTGATCGTATTCAGCGAAAACAATGTGTACCTTGTGATATTATAAGAAATTAATATGTTTTGATAAGGTCTTTAATAATAATGCAATGAAAATGCCCGCGAATCTTTTGACAAACGTTCATGTTTGAAACAAAATGGAAAATGGCTTTAACGAAAAATGTCTAAACAATTTAACTGACGTTGGGGGTAAAAAGATAATTGTTGTAACTTATTTTATATTGCCGCATCTTCGGCTTGAAATTGTCATACCTGGAGATTGGAGTTGATTTAGATTTGTATTTGCGGACTGCAGATCTCACAATGTTAGGGTTTTTTTTTTGTTTAAATGTCTGTAAGGCGTTCAGCCATCTACTGCCATGTTTTATTGTGTAATAAACGAAGCGATGATTTTTGTAATATTTTTATATAGAGAGAAAACACAAATTTGATTTTTATTGAAATTTATGAGAATGATGACTCATTGTTACATTTTTTATTTAATGCTCTAGGAAGTAAGTAAATCCGACTATTACTGTAAATATGTTTAAGATTATCGTATTGAGGCTTTTGAGAAGCGTTGTGAGGAATATTGAATTTACTTAATGATATAAATAAATTAAGTGCTAAAGTAAACTGCCGAGTTTTATATTTACTTTGTGTTAACATTTTTTATAGTGGAGAAGAGAGTGGGAGAAATAAGAAGAGGGTGTAAGAAAAAAGGTGGGGTTGGTGAATACATTTAATTTGTTTGGCGGCGAGTCGTTCTGTAAGACAGAACGGTTTGACATTCCACTGCTTCGAGTGCGTCCACAATTCTCGGCCTGTTTTGTTTATTACAACGGGTCATACCCAGGATACTCAAGCAACTTAACAATTTTCTACATGGGGATCATCGCCTTAGAGAGCTCGCCTGATGGTAATTGATACGACGCACTAGCGTATGCTTGTTGTGCAAAACTCTCAACTGTTAGCCAGGTATAGTTTAGATACACGTATCCATGTTTGTGTTTGTATGTACACATTTTTTTGTTGAGCGCGTCGCAATAGCAAAACCGCGTGACCGCATGCAGTTGTACGCAGTTCCATTTCGGTTACCGGATGAATCGTGCGCGTTCATCGCGACTAGTTTTGTATCGGCAGATCATAAATCGATAGTAAATTGATTTATATTTAATAAACAATCGACGACTACTCGAATTTACTGGAATTTTTGCCAGATTGTAATCTATCGGCGGATTATTTTAAGCGTATGAAATTATACTCGTAGTGCACTCGTGTTGCCCAGCATGTGCATTGCGTACGTGTTCGGCGGCAGTCAGTTGACTCCTAAAAAATTACATGGATTTGTGTTAATTCGAATAAATAGACAACATATATGCCCGAACAAGAGGTTTATAAATGGAGTGGCCTTGCAATTTGTAATATCCATCGCATTTGCAGTTGCGCATATTTTTAAGCAATTGGAATTAATAGTCGCTGGTGTTTTTCTTTTAAAAAATGTATGTATTTGTAAATGTTGTCAATAAAACAAATTATAATTTTTTCATTCGTATTTCTTTGTGGTATCCTCTTTGTCGTTTTCAGTTTTAAATAATATGGCACATAAGTTTTATGTGTGTGCAGCGGGTATAACATAACTGTTGCTTGAATTGTGTTGTTGTTGTTTTTAAAAACATGATTAAAGTAGAAACATAAATAGAAGAATCAAATAAGAACAATAAGAACACTCGGTGGTCGAGTGGAGACGTGCACCTGCTGGCATGCTAGCAGACACGGATCGAATCTCAGGTGTAGAAGGCATTTTTCTCAAATAGAAAAATATCAGGTGAAATTTGGGTTGCATATATGAATTGCAACGAAATATAAGAGAAATTGAAATGCAAGTGAAGGCAATAAGAGATGTAAGAAAGTAAATGGATAACGGGAGAACAGAGAAATAAATAGAAGGAGTAGTAGAGAATAGGAGAAGATAGAAGGAAGAGAACAGAGAGTAGAGTAGATAAGAGGAGGAGATAGAAGAAAGACAACAGGGGAGGATCAGATTTTTAAATTTTTTGGCACGTGTCGTTATAAGACAGTCTACGGTCGATCTCCCAGAGCGCCTCCGGCGCTCTGGTCGATCGCCCACTGCTTCGACCCATCCATTGCTCCCGGCCCATCCTACAGCTACGATGTCTCTGCGCTTCATCCCCGGAATTATCAGGCATATCAACAATTTTTATGGTGGGGATCACCCCCGGAGAGAGGGATTTCCTTATAAGAACAATCCTTATAAGGTCTTGTTCAAATATTTCTAAGTTTTAAGTCGTCTCAAGAGAGGTGACACTTAAAAATATTCTTACAAGTTCTAACCTGTACCTGAAATGAAAAAAGGAGTACACAAATCATACAGGATACCTTAACAATTTTTATAGAGGGGATCATCCCCTGAGAGAGACAACTCTCTTAGAGACCTCTACCTGAAATTATAGAAGGGGTACATTCAAAGCATAAGACATAATATTTCTTAACATTTCTTTATTAATAAATACAATGTAAAATAATACAACTTTAGATTTCACAAGTCAACAGAATACGTGACGCCATATTGAAACTGGACTTACGACCCGCATAGCCGCGCACATACAAGTAAGAACTACTTTGCAAAGTTCTACCGGGTTAATGAAATTAGCAAATAGCCAATTTTTCAGGTGATTGAAAATGGAAACAAATAAACATATGACGTCATTTTAAAACATGTTTATGCCCTGCATAGCTGCCATATGCAAGCGGCTACCAAATTACAAAAAATAACACTAGAAAGTAGCGAATTGCACCCTGTTTTCACGTGACATCAATAGAAAATTATATACAGGATGTTATCAAAAGAAAATCATCAATTTTAAAATGAAAATGGCTCCAAAACAATAAATATTGCCAATTGGTGGCTGGGCATAAAGGAAAATTTCCCTACAGGATGTTGTCGAAAGAAAATTTTTAATTTAAAATCACACCAAAATCCCAAAGATTGCCAATTTATCACTGGGCAATAAGGAAAATTTATATATATTACGACAAAAATTTATATGTATCACAAATAAAAAAAAAAAACAAAAGTGCATGTTTTATTACCTGTTTCCTATTGTTTATCTGGAAGAGCTGATAGGTGTAGATTATAATAAACAATTTAATTACTAATAATTATGATTTTATTAAAAATCTTTTAAAGAAATACTAAATTAGGCTCTTCTCAAAAAAACAACAATCAAGCACGAAAAACGGTATCTAGTGGGAACGAATACGGAGCCGACGGAACGCAATAATATTTCAACACTTGCTTTACAACGACCATGTGACGTTTATTCCTACTTATTTTTAGAGTGTTTACTTATTTCACTGATCACTTTTTTAGTGCATCAGGTAATTAAAGAAAGTACTGAAACAGAAAAAAGAACACGTGTGTGTGAACTCGCACTATGATGCACACTTAATTAAATACGTTTTGTCGGATTATGAACATGTACTATTTTAACACACAATTTTCCCGGAATATCCTACCAGGGACAACCGTTAACTACACTTACTTAAAATTACGAATAGGATACATATTTCTAATTCCAAATTTCAGCACAGAAATAATCCAATAGCCGACACGCACATGTAAACACGAGTTTTATAATCATTTTACGCGCAAATCATCCTTAGCAAAACACTCCACACGTCTGTTGTCACTAGGTGCCGGAATTAATGCTGATTTATATTCAATACAATTTAATGTAATGTAATCGGAATGCATGAAAGAATGATGCCGAGCCGCGTGCTGGTAAGAACAGAATGAAGCGGTCAAACGTTCGTAGCGTGAGAAGCAGCATTGCGCACGTTTATAGCGATATAAAAACTTGTTTATACACAAACCCCGATAAGCGTGTAGAATTGAAATAGAACATTTCTGATGTACACTAAAATAAATTAAAATATAATATTTCAAGACCGCGTTTGCGTGGTGTACTAAAAAAACTACAATTCCTAGCGCAACGAGTACTAGTGCTTATACCCACAACTATCAATATAACTCGCGTTACGGAATTTTCTCGCAATAAATTTCGATACAGGGAAATAAACAATTAAATTCCGCATCTGGGAAAATTATTCCTAACTTTGTTTAAGACCGCGTTCACGTGTTATAATAAAAAAAACTACAATTCCTAGCGCAACGAGTACTAGTGCGTATACACACAACTATCAATATAACTCGGGTAAGGGAATTTCTCGCAATAAATGTCGATATAGGGTAATAAAGAATTAAATTCCGCATCTGGGAAAATTATTCAGAACTTAGTTTAAGACCGCGTTTGCGTGTTATAATAAAAAGATTACAATTCCTAGCGCAACGAATACTAGTGCGTATACACACAACTATCAATATAACTCGCGTTACGGAATTTTCTCGCAATAAATTTCGATACAGAAAAATAAAGAATTAAATTCCGCATCTGGGAAAATTATTCCTAACTTAGTTTAAGACCGAGTTCGCGAGTTATAATAAAAAAAACTACAATTCCTAGCGCAACGAATACACGTGCTTATACACAGAACTATCAATATAACTCGCGTTATGGAATTTTCTCGCAATAAATTTCGATACCGAAAAATAAAGAATTAAATTTCGCATCTGAGAAAATTATTCCGAACTTAGTTTAAGACCGCGTTCGCGTGTTGTAATAAAAAAAAAACTACAAATCCTAGCGCAACGAGTACTAGTGCGTATACGCACAACTATCAATATAACTCGCGTTACGGAATTTTCTCGCAATAAATTTTGATACTGGGAAATTAAGAATTATATTCCGCATCTGGGAAAATTATTCCGAACTAAGCTTAAGACCGCGTTCGCGTGTTATACTAAAAAACTACTATTCCTAGCGCAACGAGTACTAGTGCGTATACACACAACTATCAATATAACTCGCGTTACGGAATTTTCTCGCAATAAATTTCGATACAGAAAAATAAAGAATTAAATTCCGCATCTGGGAAAATTATTCCGAACTTAGTTTAAGACCGCGTTCGCGTGTTATAATAAAAAAACTACAATTCCTAGCGCAACGAGTACTAGTGCGTATACACACAACTATCAATATAACTCGCGTTACGGAATTTTCTCGCAATAAATTTCGATACAGAAAAATAAAGAATTTAATTCGGCATCTGGGAAAATTATTCCGAACTTAGTTTAAGACCGCGTTCGCGTGTTATAATAAAAAGACTACAATTCCTAGCACAACGAGTACTAGTGCATATACACACAACTATCAATATAACTCGCGTTACGGAATTTTTTCGCAATAAATTTCGAAACTGAAAAATAAAGAATTAAATTCCGCATCTGGGAAAATTATTCCTAACTTAGTTTAAGACCGCGTTCGCGAGTTATAATAAAAAAAAAACTACAATTCCTAGCGCAACGAATACACGTGCGTATACACACAACTATCAATATAACTCGCGTTACGGAATTTTCTCGCAATAAATTTTGATACTTGGAAATTAAGAATTATATTCCGCATCTGGGAAAATTATTCCGAACTAAGCTTAAGACCGCGTTCGCGTGTTATACTAAAAAAACTACTATTCCTAGCGCAACGAGTACTAGTGCGTATACACACAACTATCAATATAACTCGCGTTACGGAATTTTCTCGCAATAAATTTCGATATAGAAAAATAAAGAATTTAATTCGACATCTGGGAAAATCATTCCGAACTTAGTTTAAGACGGCGTTCGCGTGTTATAATAAAAAGACTACAATTCCTAGCACAACGAGTACTAGTGCGTATACACACAACTATCAATATAACTCGCGTTACGGAATTTTCTCGCAATAAATTTCGATACAGAAAAATAAAGAATTAAATTGCGCATCTGGGAAAATTATTCCTAACTTAGTTTAAGACCTCGTTCGCGTGTTATACTAAAAAAACTACTATTCCTAGCGCAACGAGTACTAGTGCGTATACACACAACTATCAATATAACTCGCGTTACGGAATTTTCTCGCAATAAATTTCGATACAGAAAAATAAAGAATTAAATTGCGCATCTGGGAAAATTATTCCTAACTTAGTTTAAGACCTCGTTCGCGTGTTATACTAAAAAAACTACTATTCCTAGCGCAACGAGTACTAGTGCGTATACACACAACTATCAATATAACTCGCGTTACGGAATTTTCTCGCAATAAATTTCGATACAGAAAAATAAAGAATTAAATTGCGCATCTGGGAAAATTATTCCTAACTTAGTTTAAGACCTCGTTCGCGTGTTATACTAAAAAAACTACTATTCCTAGCGCAACGAGTACTAGTGCGTATACACACAACTATCAATATAACTCGCGTTACGGAATTTTCTCGCAATAAATTTCGATACAGAAAAATAAAGAATTAAATTGCGCATCTGGGAAAATTATTCCTAACTTAGTTTAAGACCTCGTTCGCGTGTTATACTAAAAAAACTACTATTCCTAGCGCAACGAGTACTAGTGCGTATACACACAACTATCAATATAACTCGCGTTGCGGAATTTTCTCGCAATAAATTTCGATACAGAAAAATAAAGAATTAAATTGCGCATCTGGGAAAATTATTCCTAACTTAGTTTAAGACCTCGTTCGCGTGTTATACTAAAAAAACTACTATTCCTAGCGCAACGAGTACTAGTGCGTATACACACAACTATCAATATAACTCGCGTTACGGAATTTTCTCGCAATAAATTTCGATACAGAAAAATAAAGAATTAAATTGCGCATCTGGGAAAATTATTCCTAACCGTTTAAGACCTCGTTCGCGTGTTATACTAAAAAAACTACTATTCCTAGCGCAACGAGTACTAGTGCGTATACACACAACTATCAATATAACTCGCGTTACGGAATTTTCTCGCAATAAATTTCGATACAGAAAAATAAAGAATTTAATTCGGCATCTGGGAAAATTATTCCGAACTTAGTTTAAGACCGCGTTCGCGTGTTATAATAAAAAAAACTACAATTCCTAGCGCAACGAGTACACGTGCGTATACACACAACTATCAATATAACTCGCGTTTCAGAATTTTCTCGCAATAAATTTCGATACAGAGAGATACAAAATTAAATTGCGCATCTACGAAAATTATTCCGAACTTACAGTCAGTGCCGGTTTTAGCAATACCAGCGCCAAGGGCGAGAATTCTACGGCGCCACCTAAATGCAATTCAAACCCATACGAAAAAACCAGCCAAGTGCGAGTCGGCGTCCCTTAAAGTCCAGCGGCCCTGGGCGGTCACCCAATGTCCTAACGCCGGTACTGTTGTATTTGCTAATTGAGGATCGACAGGTCCTATTCTGAAAATGGATTTCAGTATAATTCCCCAGGCGAAGAGCAATCACCGACGGCCGACAAAACACTCGCACTAGTGAACCGTCTATTACACCGCGATTGATTGATTTAACGCGTGCACTTGCAAAACATGGTTAACCGCGCGATTCCGGCATATGCCATCAATTGTTTATTGAATATAAACCAAAATAAAAGATTATTATAGGAAGAAACAAAACTGGTCGCGATGAATGCACGTGACTCAATCTGTGTCCGAAATAAGACTGCATGTGCACAGCCGACGTCGACAACACGCGGCCAGCCACTAGGTTTGCGATGCATTCGCAGAATGCGTCCCTGAACGCAATTCAAAGAGATGTTTATTTACAAATATTAATAAACCCAGGAAGCCATAAAAGATTGAATAAATAAAAATATAATGTAAAGCGTAATACGAACAGAAAACCACGACATATCAAAGCATAATCTAAAATTTCAGGAAAAAACACCGAAAATTTACAAACATTGACGAATTTTTGCGTGACATCAATGGAAATGGATATATCCTACGCATAAAATTATTCAATTATAATTACCTCACCAGTATGTTTGGCCTAGGAATTGAAAAGACAATTTCTGAAACGGGAAAAAACATCAGTTAGAATAATTTGCACAATGCTAATTTTGGTCGGGGATGCCTTGCCACGAACAACAAAATCATAATAGAATATGAAGAATAAAAGAAAATGTTCTAAAAGGTCGTCTCCCTTTATCCATTTTTCAATTTGAATTTGTTAAAAAATTATGTATTTCGCAAAGATATTAAACTTTTAGGAAGTTTGTTGGCCATTTTAAGGCACAGTTAAAGGATTTGTACTAAAAGAGAACTAAAATATAATAATTAAACATTCAAGATAGCTGAATTATTGCACGAGAAACAAAGTAGTTTGCACGCCATATTTTAAAAATATTCAAAGGATTTATAGGATAGGGGGGAATGAACCGATTTCTTCCAAAACCATCATCTTGCCATGCAAAAGTTGTCTTTATTATATAATAGTTTATTCAAAGATACGAAGATTTGATATTTATACGACGGCCAACGAAATATCACTTATGTTTTACCTCTGTGTATGCTCAATTTGCGCATAGTAGAACAACGTACATAGAAATAATTCAATTTAAATTTGGAAGGAACATTACACTATCATTTCCCGAAATAAAGCCTGATACCAACACTAACTTTGGAAAATACTGTTAATGGTAAAATCTAAGGCACAAATTTAAGATATACGTCAATTTACCGACAACAGATTTAAGTTAGACGGCAATATTTTTAACGAGTAAATAATTTAAATATAAAATTACCTGTATAACTTCTTCGTGCATTGATTGTTACGAATAGAGAAGATAAACATGGATACATTCGCTCATCCGCACACAAGCACAGCACATAACTCCCCATTCACGAACATTTCTCGCCCGATTAGTAAAATATTATACACGGCTGCACCGCGAAACACAAGAACCCGATGATGGTTGGTGAAATATAGGGCAATTTAACAAATTAAAAACACACGAATCATTCCAAAATGCACAACACGCGCGCGGATTCTCAAGCGAACTGAAACTGCCCGCAGTCCCCTGAGTACGCAGAGAACGTGAGAATGACTATCGGCGATAAGTTTGCCCGCAATGATAAGATTTACACCGCACGGCAATTTTACGCTATTGCAATACACTACACGACTGATTCTAGTACAATAAAAAAGTTGTTTATGCACAAACAATGTCATACGAACAGTTTAAACGATGAATACAACACTACGTTTGTCAAATGTAAAAATGAATACAAAGAAGATATATTATACACATTATACAGAATAAAATAAAAATTAATAATGAGGAATTTTATCAAAATTGTATCTTAGATTCAATCATTAATGAAGAAATCAATAATGTACCCTACCTACTTTGCAGAAAGAACTATGTGCCGGAGATGCTGCGTTGGGACAAGATAATTTCTTATTGACGTACACCGTAGTATCGTCTTATTCAATCTAAGCAATTATCACAATTTAACTCATTTAAAAATTTTAATTATATTTAAATTTATGTATAAGAATTGATAAAATTGAATTAATATAAGTTATTAAACCACAACCCTTAGTGCGATTATTGCCACAAGACTTACTATATCACATCAGGAGATATCGACGATCGCCGTCCGACGGCAACTCACTCACGAACATACACAAAAACATATTTAACAAACTAAATTAGCGTTTAGGGAGATTCTTTATACCATAAATCATTTGCAAATCACAATACACAGAAAGTATTAGCGGTGGTAACTGAACAATAACGTAAATTACTGACTTTATCAACGCCCATGTCTCGCAGCATGAACTACGACGCGACATCGTGGCTACAAAACAACAAATTCACTCACACGCCAATTTTAGTTAAAAATGTGAATAGTTGCGCCACCTAAACATTCTTGGCAATACCTCCAGAAAATATTACACTGTATTGTTACAATAACATAAATCTAGATGCCGCTAAAATTTCGACTTATTTGCCATAGAATAAAGGATTAAATATTCAAATTCAACGCACAACGATATTTGAAAAAAATACGTGTATATAACTTTAAAATTATTGTAAAATTTATTGTGACAGTTAAACTAAGTTTAAATCCTAAAATTAAACAAATCAATACAATTATATTAAAGCAGCAAATTAATGTAAAATGTTCTTCATAATGAAATGTAATTGTACCCTAAGACAAATTGTTATGCTTCAGAACATCGACAAAATCGAGAAACGTTGTTCACCTAAACGGTGATAATGATATGATTGAAATGACTACAGCAGGTTGCACTTAAAAGATATACAAGTAGCGCATATTAGCTAAATAATAAAAACTATAGTAATAACATATTATTAAATAAATACTTAAACAACGAAGGATTTTCTATAATTGTTATTTGGGTATTTTGTGAGGGGTAGCTTTGCTTTCATTCGTTCCATATCTGTTAAGATCTATAGAATTATACTTCAGTGAAAACGACCATTCAGTTTGAGATAAGTTGCCGTTTGGACCATAGAAATGTTCTCTCCAAATGATGTTTTCAACCAATTCACAGTTTAATAATGATTGATTAATTAATTATAAAGCCAAGGGTTTATGAATTTGCTTACTATTTACAACATATCTCCTTTTCACATGTTCATAAATCTATTTAACCATGTTGTAAATACTAAACAAATTTATTCTTCCGGAATATCATGACCGAAATATAATGGCACTTCAGACGTTTGGTGACAATGTTAATAATATTAACTTAACAAATGCCTTGCAATCAATTTTTAACTTTGCATTATAAATAAAAAATGTATCTTATTATAAAGTTGTTTGCTTGTGAGAGATCTCATGCGACTGGTCAAGAGTGGTTAGAATAATCATTAACTGTTCATGTTAATGAAGTTACACGCGTTTTGTCATGTTGGCCCAAAAACCATTGCAATAGTATTCCTATGCACCCACAGTAAGTTCATACGCCAAGTTATATCAAAATTCTGTCTGAAACAACATTCTTTGCAAATGCAACGTGGGAGAATACGTGAAAATAGTGTCTGCTTGCCGATAAATTATATCCAAATAACAAACTTCATCAATCACCTACGTCACTAATTAAAACCAGTTACTTCTTCATTTGTTACTCCCCTTTCTTTGTCGCTTACTTGTATATTTATACTTATCAATAACATACACTTACTTAAATATGTATCATAATCCCGGCATCGTTTTCTTCTTACTATAATAAATATATGTTTGTCAAATTACCATTAATTGGTGGGTAATTTCAATGGTTTTGTTCTAATGCACGCGTGCACGCGCAGTGTTAAATCTGTCCGTGAAGGTTGGCTGTATAATTCATGCCCATTTACTTTGCAGAATATGCAAGAAGTACGTTTGAGTGTGTGTGTGGATCGGTAATGACAGATAATATATGTACAATTTTTCTCTTATTACCAACGATCTTTGCAAATAAATTTGTTTGTTCGGAATGTAATTTTGGAGCGCCATTAATGTTGACTGGCTCATTCCTTAGGCTTAACGCTGCATAGTGATGCAAGTAATACGCGGGCGAAACATGTAAACAACTAGATGCTTAAGAAACACAGAGAAAGCTCCCAGTATTGCCTCGCGACAATTAATAATAGTGGCTTTTTATGTGTGTACATACTTGCATTATAATTTCTCTTAACTACAAATATCTAAGGCATAAAAATGAATAACAAAATAAGAATTGAAATAAAAAATAAAGAAGTAGAATTAATTATTAGATAATGGTTGTCATTAACACTAGTCGTCAACAGGCGTAAATGTAAGTGGAGTTTCATTCGTTCGCAATTAAATAAGCTTGAAACTCAAGATAACAACTATTTCCAGCCAATCAATTATAAGTGTTAAAATAAAATCCATCTTCTGTGTCCTCCGTTTACAATCAACAAATGATAGTAGCATTTTGTGTTTTGTTAGTACATAATTTGATTATGTTCGGATTTTATTTTAACGTTTAATTTAATAATCTTCGACTAGAAATTGATTTGTGCATTGTTCATCATTGTTTGGAATGTAGTCTCATCTGAAGACTAGTAATAATTCGATAATTGTTCATTTGTTTCGTGCTTTTAATCATGTTCATCACAAGATATCATCCATGAACCGTGAAAATAATAAATGAACATCAAAGACCATTGAAAAGCACCAAGAAATGTTGCATAATGATAACGTCGTTTTCTACTCGCCGAAAGCATTCATTCTTGATTCTATTATTTATAATAGTGTAATAATATTCCCGTTAGCGCAATATATAAATTCATCATATTAATGAGAAATTTAAAGCTATAATTTTCTCCGTTTGAAGTTTGGCCAAAAACACCTCGAGATCTTTTAAAAGAATACATGTCCATTATGTAAATAACGCAGCTCCATCTTAGTTTTGATTCTTTACAATGTGTATACTGGCTTGGTCTCTCGTGCTGTGTATGTTTATGTCGGCAAGTTTTTAATTCGTCAGCTACATTCAAACATTCTTTGTACAGAATTATGCGCTAGTGCAAAAAATCAAAACTATAATACATACAAGTAAATTAAAACTTAAAATTGATGGTCAAGTGGTGTAGTGTTTGCATATTCTCGCCATTCCGCAATAATAAATATTTAATTGCATCTTATTTATATTATTCATATTGCCTGCTATTAAATATTAAAATTCATTTGGCGGTATCTCGTTATCGTTCCACGGATGCTCATCATGTGTTGGCTTACTTAGTTTAAAATTGCAATTTGTATTTGGCAAATTATACTCATAAAAATTTTGCTTCTCTTTCATGCTCTTTGCCTTGTGTTGCGCGTATCATGTAAGTATTTGAGTTAATCAGTTATCGAATGTATAAAATCATATGAGTAATGGACACGAATTAGCTCGCTTCGAATATTCTTTTCGAAAAACAGTCCATTCCAGAATTGAATCGCTCGCCTCCCTTTAGGCGAAATACATTACTTTTTTGGTATCTGCATGCACGGTGATTGCACGTGCCATTGCGCCAGGCGTACGGTCTTCTGACGATCCTGACTGATGAGATCCTTCGCCACTATTAAAACGACACAAGAAAAAAGTCAAATTTTTGTCTCAAGCGCAATAAAGTAAGTACAAACCTGTCATGTTCCTTCTCAACAAGATGATATCTCGCACGGAAAGCTACCAAATGGGCATAATATGCAGGCGCTGGTATAGACACAGAACGTGTGCAGCGAACATAAGTGTGACATAATTGATAAGTCAAACACTGCAACTCATCCGAATCTAAATGTGAATCATCCCACAGCACGTGATAATGTGATGGTCTTGACGTGCCCTACGTAAAATATTTACATCAATATGTATTACTTTTATTTAATTTAGAAAAAAATGAATTACCTGAATGCCTTGATGACTGCATAAATAGAAATCAAACTCTGTAGGATGTGTAATGCCCACGTCGACTGTCGTGCCAGCAGGTATGTTCCCGCTCTTTCCACTCTGCTCCTTCTTATCGGCACAAAACAGCCGAGTGTGATGCCTCTTCTGCACCACAATGAACGTAATGCCCGGATGATAATCCGCCTCGAGCTTAATACACGCCTCACGTATCGCTACCAATTCGTGTTGCAACAGTTGCAAGAATTGTCCTTCTGACACACCGTCACGATACAGAATAATACGATGAGGCTTGTAGCCGCCCGTAGCTTTGTAAAACATTATCAATAACTCCCTAAAGTATGAAATCCCTCATTAGTAAGAAAGTAATTTAAAATTTTTGACAAAAAAGGCATACCGAACCATTGAAGTCAACTCTTGGATAATTTCCTGTCGGTGCTGTTGTACTCTAACAGTAGCTGCATATCGAGACGGATGAGCATCCATGGAGCCAACCACGGCGGCAATAGATGGCTTTTTGTTATCACCAGCGGGCGGATGTGTTACGTCCGCACCGAGGAATATAACTGGCTCGTTAAATATCTATAGTGCACAAAAATAGTGTAATTAAACATTTTAAACATATAAAAAGTTGCAAAACTTACCTTGGGTCGAATTGATGGTACCAAAATAGAATTGATACCACCCAACTTAACGTTTATTTTGAGACAGAGATTTGAGAGGGTTTGGGGTGAAGTTTTATTAACATTCTTCGCCTGTACGCACTGCGTCGCCATACCAAGGACCGTGTCACCTACGCGCTTTACTTCCGCGTAAACCGGTGTCTTCCCGGGCAAAACCACAACGACAAGCTGTAGCGCTTGGAATGTGTTCTTCAAGTACCGGAACATCGGTTCAACCTGAAAAAAATTCCTTCGGTTAAGAAATGTGCAAGAAACCACAAAAATAAAACCTACTTGATCTGGTCCAGTTGCATATTTACAGAAACACGGCTGACCTATGATCGGCATGCCTGCATCGTTGCTTATCTTCTGCAGTTGCTGTGTGAAATTTCTCAACGAATCTTCACGCACAGTTCGTTGCGGCGCAAAGCACGCGATGGCCCACACCCGAATCTCCACACCAGTGAAGAACTGCTTTCCACGCATGTCCCATACGCCTTGGTTGGGCAACGCTTGCTGCTTACTCTGTAATATCAGAACAACTGGAATATCTCAAAGGCACTGCATTTAAAAGTCTACTCCAAAGAAAAATACTAGTCGAGCGAATGTTGAAAATGCCTCAAAACTAATTTAAACTAATCTAATAAAAAATAAAAAAACAAAGATTGAAACTAACGTGCCAGCCCACCTGTCCGCTGAGGGAAGCAACGCGACCACCATACTGTAGTTTTGGCGGCGGTAGCACACGGCCTCGTACTTCCATCATGTTGTTCGAGATCGTGAGACCAAACTCTTGTACGTACGCGTCGTTGTTGAAGTCAGCGCGACGGACGAGATTGTTAATTTCACGCTCGCGATCCGGAGCCGACCTACAACCAAACAAAGAATTTATTACAACATTATCAGAAACTCAATGAATAAAATATCAACAAGAAAAAAGTTAAATATACCTTGCAGTGGCCTTAATCATAGTAGAAGTCTGCATATCAGTCAATTTCTTAATGCACCGCTGTCCAGCGACAATGTTGCATACCTCAAGCGGGAGATAAGTGTGTTTGTGCTCCTGACCGACTTGCAAGCAAGGCAAATGCGGATAGCGCAACTTCATCTTGTACTTATCTAAAAAGTACTTTGCCACTGTGCATTCCACAGTCTGACCGTTGTCCAGTTGCAGCGGGAACGACTGCATCTGCGCGGGACGACGCGTTACATTGCACACCCTGTATTTCCGCCGCATGCTTCCACAATGAGTGATCTCGATCTTCAGACCTTTGATCTCCTTTGTGAATTTAACACGTTGCGAATCTGTTAACGGCTTGCGCTGCTCATTGATATCTCTAATGTCGAGCACCTCGCACATGAACTCAATAACGGGCTGTGCTTTGTAGAAAGCAGTCGCAGAAACGTCAATATTCAGCATCATCTTCCACTGACTAGGGCGCACCGACTGATGGAAGCCAAACCATACTTCCCGGCCGCCGCCCAACGGATGGTAGTAGCCCTCGGGGCTGCTAAAGAAACTCCTGCCAACGGGCGTATAGCTCATCGAAGGAAGATGACGCATGACAACGTCCAAGGCGAGAATTGCTTCGTAAGGGATTTGACGCGTACGTCCTTCGAGAGCTTCCTCTAGCCCAAAAAGTGATACTTGGGCTACCCATTTGATAGAGACTCGAAACAGGCGATCCTTGCCTTCACCAGGAAGCGTTACTTCGAGTTCTTCACGCGCATTACCAATAGGAAGCGGATCTCGCGTGTACAAGTTGCTGCGACCGTCAAAGACGGGTTTTAAAGATCCGAAGATTTTCGTGTATGCATGGACCATAGTTTCGATGATTTCACGATTCACCTTAACACAAAATTCAAATCAATTTCAATGTTGCGGGAATAATAGTATTTTTTTACCTTGCGAGGACATTTGTCAGGTTGAATGTTTACATCGTAATGATGTACGTATCCTCGAGGCATGGTGATCTGAAAGTGGTTGGCTTTGAGCACAATGGGCCGCCCCTCGCGCCCCAAATTTGGCCGGCGCGGGCATTGGAAAATTGGAGGTTCCGTAGTGGCAAGGGCCCCGGCGGCAGCTCCTGGGAGCGCCACAGCCGTGCTGGTGGTGCCGCTCGGAGTCGCCGTGCCTGAAGACAGCGGGTCCGAAAACGTCGTCTGGGTAGTGGGGCTGCCACTTTGTCTCGGAGGGCTTGCCTGCCATGACTCTGAAATGTGTAACGCATAGATAAGTCGGGTGCTTATCAGCTGAGAGTGAAATTTCATAATACGCGTGTCGCAATCGAACGGAAACTACTCATTTTTTTACTTTCTAAGAAACGGTTTATCTGGCGCAACAGGTAATCGTGCACGGATTTGGCAATGGTACACTTTTGAAAAATCAATACATCCTAGGCGAAATGCTAGCAACGACGGTCAGACAGGTCAGGGGTCAGTGACCTCTTTGGATGCACTTCTAACACACGAAATAACATCAAGAACATTGCACCTACATTAGCCGAAATAACAAAAACAAGTGAAAAGAACAATTTACGAATGCATCTAGCGTTTCATAAATAAAAACAAATATCAATCAACTTCAAAATTTATGATTTACGCGTGGAAAACAGAACTTCGTGCTTAAAGTGTTGAGAACTGGTTATACTAGTGTAATAATCACTTTTGACTATGGTGATAGGATCGGAAGTTTTCTCGGAAAACGTGCATACGTCATTAAAATGTATGAATCACTACGAAAACGAAATTCTAAACCTAGTGATATTACTTAGATCAAAATTAATGCGCACAAACAACAGATTGCAGTGATTGCATTAGGTCGCATTAGACAAGAATTCGACCTCAACAAAGAAGGTCTGTAACATAATCACGGCGATTTACAGCTTCGCGTACTCGTATTCCTACTTCTATTAGGTTAAGATCTGAATCCAAAAATAGACGCGTTACACACAAAAAAACAAACGAATCACGGCCTCTTAAACGTAAAACGAAAGAACTGATCCACTGGGAAACACGACCACACAGTAATCGGACCACAAACGAAATACATAACAATTTTTATCGCTTCGTGTCCTCCACCAGTGCACAATAGATGCAACCTCGTTTTGTACACAACACACTTAGCCAACGCAGTTTACCCAACACAAAACAAAAGAAACCCGGTCCAGTGACGATCACAACATTTAGTAAACAATTTTCACTTACGCCCCCCTTGCTGCGGATACATTTTATTTATTAAACCAGCACGATAGCCCACGAAACACTCCAAAATTCCAAAAACTGTCTGTATCACTCACGAAGCACTGGCGGACATTTGCAAACTAGGATATGACGTCACTGCATAGCGCAGCGTCGACCTACGTGCGTCTGTTGCCTCCTTCTACTACGCGTTCAGCGTCGGTGTGTCGCACTCTGCGCACACTCTGAACTCCGAGGGAGTGCGGTTTGTTTTGATTGGTCGGTCACATGCAGGTGTTGCAAGAACCGTACGTCATAGAAATAAACTAGTATTTAGAACGATTCAAAACTTGAATTAAACAAATGACACGACTATTTAGGCTTCTACTCTATCAAAATTAAACCTCTTAGATGAATAGTTCCGTAAATTAAGATAACGTCCAGTTTTAAGGGACCGTTATACGCATGCGTTGAACCAGCCGTCAACCACCGACATACGTTCGAGCGATGTAAACAAAGTGCACGCAGAGCACGAAGCACGGCGATTCCACGCGACTGCAACCGCCGAACATTGAAACCGAAGGAAAGCTGGGTGAGAAATGAGGACAGCGAGGACGCGCGAGGCAGACGAGACCGCGGATACGAAGTAAACATTTTCACGCCGAATTTCGCCATCGCGCTAAATTTAATATCGCGCACAATGCGCCTATATATTGTTTCCTACTCACCGGACGACGGCGGCGGGATGTTGTTTTGAATCGTAGTGGAGTGTGGCGGCGGCGGCGCGTGGACTCCTTGTCGATGGAACAGTGTTGTCAAGTCTGTCTGCAGGATCTGCTGGATGCCAGGCGCCTGCATCGTGCGCCCCTCGGCTTCTGCCGCTGATAACGACATTTTAATCTCAATCTGTAAACAAGTAAACAAATGAGGAACGATTAGCTCACTGACGGTTATTAATACTTCAACACGCGGTTATCAGAAAAAGAAAAGTCTAGTTTACATATTTTCGAGTGCGCGATATTTCGGTATCGTTTAATCAGGACGGAAACTATTTTTATGCGTCGTATCAGTTCTTTTTTAAATTGAAAAATCACAAGATTACATATTGAATGTAACTATCGAATATTCACATTCTGCAAATTGAGTTCATTTATGCGGTAATTTTATGTTGAATAAAGTGATCCATTTAAAGTTTTTACGGAGTTAATGTAGAATTTAATACACTACCGAGTACGGAATGAAATATTATAGAAGCGCGTCGCGTTTTCGAACTATTTAACAAAAATCCGCCAGAAAACACTTTTGTACCGTGTGTCGTTTGTTGTTTCATCAGTGATACTCGTTAGTACGTCGGTTGTCAACTATTTACTACGTTGTTTAGAGTTTTTAAGATTTCAACTGCGAAAGCACATTTTTCAGCATTCAGCAAATTGAGCACAGCGCGCGCACTTGCCGAGAGTAAACACGGTTGCTGTCAAAAAAACAATTACGCATTAAATTCGCGACAACGTTTTCGCAGGTTTTCGCACCGAGACATTACCAACGCGGCTGTCATCGCGAAATAACTGGTCCGCCGGTTCACGATTGCGGCGCAAGGCGCCCATGTCCTAAGACAAGCGGATTCAAGGCTGGCGGGCCGGATTTTACGCGCTTGGCTCAATGTTGTCCCTATGCGCCTGTGTGTGTGCATGAGTTGGTGCGCGATCGTACATTGTCAATGCCTCGCCGCCACATTTACACACACACACAACCACGTCGCCACAGCGCGCTCGAATCTTAAAACTCACCTATATTTCGGACGTCCGCATTTGACACTCAACGAAAACGCGTCTAGCTGATGTAGCCGGTGACCACGCGGCGATTTTCACCTGTCTAGCGGCGTTGACGATCGTCTCAGCGCGAACAATTTGCCATAACTCGCGCGCTCGCGGCCCGCGCTTGCACTTGTTTTGTGTGGTGCGGCGTGTGTGTGTCTGGTGCTGGGTTGCTTGCTCTGTGGCGGGCGCAGGCGGGTACGTCACGGCGCCTGCGCCAATTAGGTGGCGTAGAGCAGCGCACCGCGCACGCGAAATCCGCACGTAGCGAACACCCGCACGATGGGTTTTCAGCCGTACAGCCGCTTCAAGCCGTTGAAGCTTGAAGCGTGTTGCGAACTTCAACAATCTCCACAATCGAAAAACTTAAAACAACAGAATAGGGCGCACACGCAGTACTTGATCTAACTAAGTAGTACGAAACAAGATGGATTGTTTGTTTTGTGGTGGTTGATTTGATTGGTTCAACTGTTTTGATGAACGCGCGTTGTCATGGCGATTGCGATTGTTACTGCGTGGACCACTTTGCGATCTCTTTTGCTTTCACGACTGATGCGCTGACCGTGTCCGCCTGCCGCAACACAAAACCTGTGGTCGCGGTCGGTGGGGTTCCTCCGTCGTCTCGGCGTTCGCTCTCTCACTCGACATGCTGCTTCTGTTTATTGATCCTTTTGGTCGACGCTCGACCTTGAATTTCGAAGCTCAGGTTGTGCTGCATTGGTAGTGGTGAACGTTGGTGTGAGATGCGAATAGAGCGTTCCGACACATACGTTGAAATGTTTCGCCCTTGCGCGCTGACCTTCAATTTCACCCGATCGTACAAAATCAATACAGCTCGTAAAATTATACCTGCGTGGTAGGCACTTGTGACAGGGCTCAAAACACAAGATATTCATTATCAACAATATTTGTCATTACAAAATTTAAATTACAACTTTTATTACTTTATTATTAGTAGATCTTACATGTAAGTTGTTGGCAATTTCTATCTTGCATCAAAAACAATCACTGAAATATAGAAGGTATTTTAAAACTTAATCTGATTTAATTAGAAATTAGTTAACTTACATCTTTTGGTTCTTTTCTTGTACATAATACGATAGCCGCATTCTCGGCATCGAATAGGATCGCGAGGACGGATTTCATTTTCATTGTGGCATTCTATAATCAATTATTATAGCAATTACATTAAACTCTACTTGATTAGCTTTGATGACAATTTCACAATTTTTATGAAAGTAATGCAAGAGCAGAAAGAATTAACCTCAAAATATTTACCTCCACAAATGTAAACCATTGGAGCTTTAGCCGCAGCAGATTCTTTGCTTGACGGATCGGACGACATTCTTCAAACACTTCTTTGGTATCTTCTTTCTTATTAAGTAATTTGTTTATTTTGCAAATTAAATAATATGATCAACAAGAGATCACGCCGTTTGCAGCATTTGTTTATGATCGTTTTCAAACCGCATGTCAGATATTAAAAACATCCTTCTAGATGGCGCCGTAGTCTACAACAAAATTTTATGAGGTATTAATATTTTAAACCGTCTATACAAGAATAAATTGAAATAAATTATAATAATTAATAATTTACCCTTCCTTAATAATTTATAAGATATAATGCTATTAATTTTAAACTTTTTAAAACAAAATTGAATGTTTAGTTCCAACTCCAACAGCTGATGACGCTAGTGTCAAAAACGGCCGCCATTTAATAAATTTCTGGTCACCGAGGAGATGGCTTCGTCTCTTGAAAATTTAGAATCGCAACTAGAGTTGTTCGCCGAAAATGTGCGCCAAATACACATAATAGTCAGTGACTTTCAACCGCAGAGCCAGAATGTATTGAATCAGAAACTGTAAGTATCTTATTTCTTTGAAGTTTTCGATCATTCAACTAACCTTATTATAGCCAATCACTTGTTCATGGACTTCAAGAAGTTGACAAACTGAAAACCCAAGTTCAGGAGGTACATGTTCCTCTAGAAGTATTCGAGTAAGTACTCAAAAAGAACCTTAAATTAAAATTATTACTATACTAACAATATTTTGTAGTTATATAGACCAAGGGAGAAATCCACAATTGTATACAAAGGACTGCATTGAAAAGGCACTGGCAAAGAATGAACAAGTCAAAGGAAAGATTGATGCATACAGAAAGTTCAAAGCCAACATGCTGCTGGAGTTAAGCAGAACCTTCCCCAATGAACTGAACAAATACAGAGCATTGAGAAGTAATATCCCTGAATAGTAAAGTAGATTTAAGTTTTTATTATATTGTGAAATATATTAAGCTAGATGTTAATGTAAGGACGATTAAATACAATTTGTATATAAAAAGTTTTATTTGTTTTTCATATACAAATTGTTGCAGAACAATACTCATACTCCTCTTATGCTTAAAACTCTTGGTTTCCCCAACGAATCTGCAAAAACAACGTTTTTACGTCATAATAACTGATAGAAATTGAATAAAATTAATTAAAGCTTAGAAATCATAACTTACGTCTGTCCTGGCTTTTATTTTCCTCTCAATTAAGCCGCAGAGCGTCTCCGATCGTACTGACAGTGAATCAATCTTCTCAATCAACTGCTGATACGGACTCAACGGTTGTGCACCCATGACAACATGTCCGAGCTTGGAATCAATCTTAGCGTCCAACCGCGCATTCCTAATCAAATTCACAATCCAGCACTCGGCCTCGTCGGGATTCATGTTCAACTTTTCAGCCAACATGCCAATACTAATACACTGGTGAATCCTGCAGAATGTCTCGAAGATCATCAAACGCGCATTCTCGACAAACTCATCCAAACAAGAAATCAGGAAGAAGTCGTTGAAAACAACTGTCTGGCATTCGTGCAACTTCTGTCTCGCCCCGTCAAAATCAAAGTTAACATATAAATGTTCCAAGAATTCAGTGATGGGATCACGATAGGTGTAGCCTTCTTGTTGGATCACCTTGACGAGGTCTTTCAACGCTGAACGACGACCGCGGTTTATAATCACGGCGGTGGCCAAGTAACGCAGGATGTGTGGGCACATCGTCTGGATGGCGTTGAGGTAGTGTGGTCTGTAGAGGAACATCTCAATGATGAGTTCGCGTCCCTGTGCGTGATTGAAGAAGACGAAGAGCGACCAATGGATGAGCCAAGTGCGCTGCTGTAGCAAGTGGAGATTGTTACCGCCGTGATTGGGACTCGAGTCGATGTACTCGCGCAATTTGTTTAAATCTTCGAGCGCAGACTCCCAGTTTTGGCCGAGAATTTCGGAGGCAAGCTTGCCCCACAATACTGACAGGTAGTTCTTGTCATTTTGAGGCAGGACGAGCATGCAGAAGTATAAATACGAAGTAGAGACTGAGTAGTTGCCGCATTCGTAGCGGTACTTTGCCAGTTTATGCAGGCTTTCAATCTTTCCAATCTCAAACTAAAACAAATGTATTTTTAAGACTTTTAAAGGCAACAAAAGTCTTAAGAATAGTTCCCCACAATATCATCACTAAACTTAATTATAAGGAAGAACTGAAGCTAATAAACAAGTAAAATTCCCCAACTTTTTGTCAATTCAACTTTAAATAAATGCTAATAAGTCTGTTAAACTTACATTGTATTCCTTAGACAAGAAGTTAATCAGAGCCTTTGAGTCCCTAAGGTTCTCCATACTCTTCATAGCCTCAGCATTGCCCATAATCTGTAAGATAGGCTCAACTTCCTGCTGCAGTTCTTGAAGTTGAGAAACAACATGAGCCCTCCTAGACTTCAAGGTTTCAGGCACTTCATCCTTGGGATAGAGCTGTTTCCTAATGTCAATGGTGTAGTCAATCATGTTAGTCTTACTAAGAATGTCCAACTTCGCCTTAAGCAACTCATTTTCGTCGTAAATCTGAAAACAAATTGCGTTTGTGAGTGATTTAACTGAGATGCAACATAACCTAATGGATGCACACCTCTTTGGCCGACAAGAATTCCAGCAGTGGGAACACAAGATGCCGGTCAAGATACTGCCCCATGCGGGTGGTTAAATCGAATTTTGCCATCGCGGGTGATGTTTAGATTTATTCGCGAGTTATAATTTATTTTTTCACGAATTATTAAAAACTACCATCTGCCAACCAGCGTGGCGCAGCGACGGCGTGAAAAAGAACTAGCGAATTGCGCCAGGGGGCGCACAACGACAAATATAACACTCGCGGAATATTCAAAAGTAGAAAATGGCGCAAATTGGACGACAAATTAATACCTACACTTTTTTACCATACAAAACAATTAAAGGTTGTTTAAAAGTTTTCTGAAACAGTTACCACTCTAATAACATATTATATATTTTGGTGTGGGTACATAATAACTTTCCCATCAACTGATGTAATTAAATTCAAGGTCAAGTCTTCAGATACACCTGTTTGGTGCCTGTACCTGTATGCTTCTTTAAGGCATACTAAGAAATATAAAGCGTCTTTTGTGACCAATATTGCTTAAAACATATAAAATAGCTTCTCATTTATCAATAAAAAATATACTATTTAATTGCACACTTCTAAACGCTAAACTTTGACAAAATAAAAAAAACTTATCGGTTTATCAATCATTTAATTTTGTTACTTAGCAACGGAACATCATCAATGTAAACTTTGACAACACTAAAATAGAAGAAGATATAAACCTATTTTAAAGATCACTAATCAAAATGAGGTCCGTTCCAACTTGGGCCGATAAAATTCAAGACGCCGAAAAGCAAGAACAATGGTAATTATTCTGAGAATAAATTATATTCCAAAAGATATACCAAAACATATATTTTTAGCATTTATGACTTGTGTTTCAATCCAAATGGCTTACAACTGATTGTAGCAAGTGGAAACAGAGTTTTAGTTTATGATACAACTGATGGAACACTTATCCAAGCTCTGAAAGGCCACAAAGATACAGTTTACTGCGTCAACTACGCCAAAAATGGCCAGAAATTTGCTAGTGGCAGTGCTGACAAGACCGTAATTATATGGTCAAGCAAACTAGAAGGATTATTAAAGTATAGCCACAGTGATGCAATACAATGTTTGTCCTACAATCCCTTATCAAATCAATTAGCTTCATGTGCAATCACCGACTTTGCTTTTTGGAGTGCCGAGCAGAAATCAGTACAGAAACATAAGATTAATTCAAGGATTAATGCTTGCTCTTGGACCAATGATGGACAATACTTGGCTTTAGCTTTGGGGAACGGTGCTATTTCAATTAGGAATAAAGTAAGTCAAAATAGAGATCAACAAAATTGAGAAAATAAAAATGTGTAATTTTATCTTTTTGCATCATTATTTTTTAATAGTTAGGTGAGGAAAAAGGACGATTTGAACGCCCAAACTCCCCATCAATATGGGCAATATCTTGGAGCATTGCCCCAGACGAACAAGACACACTCTGTGTAACAGACTGGAACAAATCCCTATCATTCTACACACTCGGCGGAAAACTAATCGGCAAAGATCGCAACATCGGCTTTGATGCCCTCAAAGTAAAATATTTCTCAAAGGGAGAATTCATCATGATCTGCGGCAGTAATAAAGCCTGTAATATGTATACAAAAGACGGAATAAAACTAGGAACCATCGGTGATCAACAATCATCATGGGTATGGTGTTGTGCAGTCCACCCAGATGAAAACTTCATGGTTGTAGGATGTCAAGATGGAACAATTGCATACTACCAGCTTGTTTTCAACACCGTTCATGGTCTATACAAAGAACGTTATGCATTCCGAGAAAATATGACGGATGTTATAATTCAACACCTGATAACCGAGCAAAAAGTACGAATCAAATGTCGTGATTTGATCAAAAAGATCGCAATATACAAACATCGTTTAGCAGTTCAACTACCCGAACGTGTTATAATCTATGAATTATATTCTAATGATTCTAACGATATGCATTATAGAGTCAAAGAGAAAATTACACAGAAGTTAGATTGTAGTTTATTAGTAATCTGTGGGGAACATTTGGTTGTTTGTCAAGAAAGAACTCTTCAAAGTATGACATTCCAAGGAGTACAGGAACGTGAATGGTTACTGGAAAGCCCAATCAGATACATAAAAATCATAGGAGGTCCACCAAAACAAGAAGGATTAATTTTAGGTCTAAAAAACGGCCAAGTTTGGGAAGTACATCTTGATAATCCATTCCCTATACTCAAAGTACGAGTTCCAAGTTCAGTGCGTTGCTTAGACTTAAGTCAAAGAAAACAAAAACTCGCGGTTGTGGATGAGACAGGTTTATGTCAAGTATTTTCAACTAAAGATGGAGAATTACAATATCAAGAACCAAATACAAATAGCATTGCTTGGAATACTCAGTATGAAGATATGTTGGCTTTAAGTGGGCCAAATGTTCTCTCAATCAAAATAGAAAACTTTCCAGCTCACAAACAGAAATTAACAGGCTTTGTTGTTGGTCTTAGCGGGTCAAAAGTGTTCTGTCTTAGTGAGAATACAATGACAACTCTTGATTTACCCTTGAGTGGACCTATGTATCAATATATCGAGAATAAAATGTTTGCGGAAGCGCACAGAGTCGCTTGTTTGGGCGTAACCGAAGGCGATTGGGAAGAATTAGCACATTCTGCCTTGGAGAATTTAAATTTTGAAATTGCGCGATTGGCGTTTGTGAAATTACAAGATTACGGTTATTTGGAACTAATAAGAGATCTTCAGGATAGACAACGTAAAGGAGATAATAATCACGATGTTATGATTGGAGATATTTTAGCTTACAAGGGAAAGTTTAAGGAAGCCGCCAGATTGTATCAGAAAGCTGGGCAAGAACACAAAGCTCTCACAATGTATACTGATATGAGAATGTTTGATCAAGCTCAGGATTATCTGGGTTCCAATGATAATACTACTTTGATTCGTCAGAAAGCTGATTGGGCAAAGAATATTAACGAGTTTAAAGCTGCAGTGGATATGTACTTGTCCATTGGAGATACTAAAGCAGCGATTGATATTTTAGGAGAACAAGGATCTGCTGACCAGTAAATAATTATTTATATCTTTTTTAAATCACATTACATTGATTTATTCGTTTTGTTTAGATTGGTTGAAGTTGGACGCAAATTGGATAAAGCCGAACGTGGTCCATTGATAGAAATCGCTGAGCATTTGAAGAGGCTGGATAAATCAAATGCAGCAGCGGAAATTTACAAACGCTTGGGTGATTCGGCTGCAGTGTTATCTTTGCATGTGAATGCTATGGAATGGGCGCAGGCCTTCAGTATTGTGCAAACTCAACCACAACATAAAGAACTGGTTTATGTACCGTATGCTCATTGGTTGGCAGAGAATGATAAATTTGTTCAAGCTCAAAGAGGTTCTTATATAAAAACAAAAATATAGAGTAACGATAATTAATTTTTGAATTGAAATTGTAGCATTTCATAAAGCTGGGCGCTTAGATGAAGCGTTCCATGTTTTACAACAATTAACAAGAAATGCTGTGGATGAATGTCGATATCATGATGCAGGGTATTACTATTGGGTTTTGGGGCAACAATGTTTAGAATTAACCAGAGAAAAGTAAATAATTTTACTTGAAATCTTTTAAAATGTTAAAGTATTAATAATTTTATGTTTTAGTGATGAAATGCTACCAAAAATGTTGCCGAAGTACAGAGAAAATGAAAGACTTGCCGGTATATTCTACGCGTATCATTCCCTACATCGTTATCTAGAAGAACCCTTTACTTCTTTTATGCCGGAAGCTTTATTCAACATTTCAAGATTCCTCATGACTGAAATCACAGAAAATCGCCCGAAAGGAATTTCTCTATTGTATCCTTTTTTAAATTATCACAAACAAACAAAATCATTAACGTGTTAAATTTCTTAATTTCCCTCACAGTAACGTCTTATACTGCTTGTCAAAACAAGCAAAGAAACTGGGAGCAAATAAATTCACCAAACAAATACTGGATAAGCTCCAATCGTTAAAAATACCAGCAAAGTTTCAAGAAGAAGTTGAGCTTGCAACAATCTCAGCCCGCGCACGTTCCTACAGCGACCCGGAAGATCTGCTTCCGATGTGTTATAGATGTTCGACTTACAACCCGTTGTTAGCCACAAGCAATCGCTGTGTTAATTGTGGGCAAAAGTTTGTTCACTCGTATGTGAGTTTCGAAATATTGCCGTTAGTTGAGTTTCATTTGGAGGACTCAATTACGGATATTGAAGCTGTTCGCTTGATAGAAACACCGCCTGGTGATAAAGATCACAATATGAAGGATGAGTGGCGACAAGAGATTAATGAAAACGCAGAAACTTTGCAGTTGGATGCCGATTATGAAGAACCCAAAGATCCGTTTACTACCAGAATGAGTTTTGATGTGTGTATCGCAGATATCTTCCGCTTTTTAAATTTTACTTTGTGTGTTGTGTTTACAGGATGAAAGTAATAAGGAAATTGCAACTGCAACCCTAAACCGAGCGGGACTTCTTGCGTTAGACAGTTCTGCGGTGTTAATTTGCAAACATCCACCACCATTAAGATATCAGTTTTATAGAAATTTGTTGCCAGATTTGCAGATTAGACTGTGTGATTACTGTTTTAAGGTATTTGTTTCTTTAACTTGAAGTTATGCGTGAGTTAAAACGATTTTATAATTGTAGGCTTTCCATGTTGATGATTTTGAACTTCAACTCTTACAAAAAGGACATTGCCCGTTCTGCCGTTCATCATCAGAAACCCAAAATATTATAGATGATGAATATTTAACGTTCTAAGTTATATTTTATATATTTGTGCACTTTAATTTACTTATTTATTGTTAAAATCGTAAAATAGAGAATTTTCACTCCGAAATTTTTGAATTGTGTTAGTACTAACCTTGTAGCGCTGATGTCGATTTCATAATGGCCGCCGAATGTTTCCGGCGGGATCGCTGCTTCCGTCCATCTTTCTTTCTCCACATACTGTCGCGAGGTGAGTGTTTACGCTAAAAGTTTTCTCGAATCAGAACACGAATTTACTAGTTATAATTTAAATGGACACATTTAAAAATAATTCGGGATTTTCTACATTGATTTCAATTCATTAATTTAAATTGAAATTATATTATCTTTGTTAAAAGATAAAATATTAATCTATAACCTTAAACGTGTCCTGTTCAAGACGAGCGTGATGCACAACGCGGTATGTAAAATGTATGTTTAATCTTTTATAGATCAGGATGTCGTCCCACTTGGTTTGGAGTATTATCCGCAACAATAATGCCTTCTTATCGAAGAAGCGCAACATTGACAAACCATTCAGTACTGTAAGTTTTTCCACTGTGAGGTTATCCACAAGATTCTAATATTTTTATTGCTTATAGGAGCAAGGTAACTTGGTAAACCTAAACTCATACAGATTCAATGGTTTGGTACACAAGAAATCAGTTGCCATTGTGGATGGACCCAAGAAGAAGGGTTTCACTGTCATCTACAAGAAGGCCTCCAAGCAAAAGAAGCCAAGACAGAGCACTGTCAAGAGGACAATGAAGAGTGGACCAAGGAGGTCTCTGTTCAAACTGAAACGCTTGTTGAACAAGAACAAGTACCGCACGGACTTGACACAGGTATGAACTATTACTTTTTCTTACAAAGAAACTGCCTAAAACGAATTATATGATGAGTTTTACCACCAAGATCTCCGAAAGTTGTGAAGATATCATATCTGGTGTCTGATGATATCTAACTGATTTTATTGCTCTTTTGTGTTACATGGAATGATATTAATTGATTTGTCATTAACTTGCAGGCCGCTTTGCGCAGAGCCAGCGCGGTGTTGAGATCGCAGAAGCCTATTGTTACTAAGAAAGTAACCAAGCCCAAGAAGGCAGAGTAAATGTTTTGTATCATCAATAAGTAAATAAATCAAAAAAATTCAACTATGATTTATCAAAGCATCCAAATCCTTTCCATATCAATTAATAAATCATATTGCATGTTATTACTTTTACTACATTATTATGTTACAGTGAAATATTTTTAAACCAGCAAGGAACTTCTGGAGGGTAGATACCAACTGAAATGGTAATTATTTTCACATTATTACTACGTTTCTAAATAATATTTAAATGATGAGTTTTACCACCAAGATCTCCGAAAGTTGTGAAGAAATTATTTAATGGTGTCTGATTTTCATAATAATTAATCAGAGTTTTCTTGTCTTGCAATTATATTAATATATTCGTTTGCTCTTTTGCAGATTTATGACCAATATTAACTTGTTTATATCACGCAGACTTCTGGTTGCAGGAGTACAAAAGGTAAGTTATATCCAAATCTTGAATTCTAACTATTTATTTAAATGATGAGTTTTACCACCAAGATCTCCGAAAGTTGTGAAGAAATTATTTATGGTGTCTGATTTTCATATGTTTAATTAAATATTTTCCTGACTAGAAGTTTTATTAATTTTAAATTATTGTTTGCAGATATTTGACCACCAACAGTCATTTCAGTCTACAGGAATTTAAAAGGTAAATTTGGTCCTAATGCTTAATTCTAACCAGGTATTTAAATGATGAGTTTTACCACCAAGATCTCCGAAAGTTGTGAAGACATTTTATTTGAGTTCTGATTCTCAAAATAAACTTCATATCAACCTGAAATCTTTTAAAATTACTAATATTTCCCTATTTTTGCAGATTTCAATGGAAGGAGGTACCAGATGTGCAACGACGATCCAAAAAGTAAACTGTATATGTATATTAAATTCTTATCAAAATAAATACTTTTATCGCATTTGACGTTTGAAATAAATAAACTACCTTACTTCAAGTAATTAAAACAAAGAGTTTTGCATATCTCTCTGCTCAGGTCGCGTTTTAAATGAATTAAACCATTTTCTCATTTGTTTTCTATATTAAAATCTTGGGGTACATACATTTTATCAAACAACTTATCATCTTCATGTAAAACCGCCCACCGTTTAGCAACATCTGCATTACTACTCTTTCTAAACACCATACAATGTAAATATTGCAACTTTTCATAAACAATTCGTCTGAATCCGATTTTCGCTAATACAAGTCTCCATGACTTCATATACTTAGCATTTGCACCAACATGTTTTGCATCAGGACTTATAATAACCAATATACCTTCATGTTTGAGAAGTTTGTATGCATTCTCACAACATTTAAGACGTAATTCCGGCGTTGGAAAGTAATCCAACAGTAAACTAAACACAATTATATGATAAGACAAACCTGTGCACTGAAATTCACTGGTTTTACATCTTTTGCTAGGTCTAGGTTCACTTTCATCATTTAAACCAACATTAGCTATGTCTATGTTTAAAAAATCACACTGAATCACTTCTTCATTACTTGGAGCAATGTCAATAGCAACTACTTCATAATTGCTGTACTTTTTAAATGGATTGTAACAACTGCCAACATCTAACAACTTAAATTTATCAGGAACTTCTAAAATATTATCTAGGTCTACAGTTAAGTCACATTTCTTAGCAATTTCGTCCTCTTGTTGTCTACACTTCAATATGGTAGTATTAAAGTACTCCTCACATTTGTTATGCACCCAGGTAATTCTTGAAAGTGCTTTGGAATTCTCTTTCTGTTGATTTTCTGTCCAATGTTTGCATGCTAAACTTTCCATTGTTTCTGCATATTGTGTCAACATTGACTTGTTGTTAACATGCTTCTGCCACGTTTCTTCCCAGCCGTGCTCGGTTGCATCTTTTCTTAATTGTTTATGCACTTCTTTGATAAAAGTTGATAGTTCAAGATGTTCTTTAGATGCCTTTTGATTACTAGACATTTTTAAATCGTCTGAGGAAGTTAGCACTTACAATATCACATAAAATAGGCTTTTTACGTTGATTCAAAGTGTAAAATATATGTTTTATGTATGAAATGTTAACTAAATGTAGCAATATCACGTTTGAACAAATATCTTAAGGTCGCTGAGGTTAAAAGTAACCTGTGGTAACCAAGTGCCCCAAGGCAAAGCAAATTCAGATCATACAAATTCATATTGATCATATAAAGAAATCAAATTCATTCTATTTTTAATTTATTTGAAGTCGCATTAAACGCGGAAATCATACTTCTTTACTTAATAATATAATTTATAGTGCTAAATATAACAATCCACTTCATTTAAAAGTCGGCCATAAAATTTATTGTAGAGCATACCGATAAGATAGAACTCTGTACGAAGATAAGTCGGATAAGTCGCAACAACTGCAAAGTGACGTTTGTTTCATAAATAGTAGTTGTGTTCTGTCCAAAATATTTTAAAAAACACTTTCCTAACTCACGACCCTTCGCAACCACCAGTCAACCCCTAACACTCCCCAATCGTTTTAATTTGTGATCTTGTGATAGAATGCTCGACGTTATGTACCCATTTATGGCATTCATGGTAAGTTTACGTGTGTGTAACCTCCACGCAATTTTTCCGCGCGACTCGCTGCCAATGTTTTAAAATTACTTTCAGAATGTTGAAAGTACACGCTGCTACATCGACGACTTATATTCGGCGGACCCGGAGAAATGGCTGCAGTCGATTCGCTGCATCAAAAACAACGTCATAGGCTCCAACAAACAGAAAGAGTGTGTAATTGCACAAGGCATTCTCCCAAGACTCCTACAACTTCTACAGGATAAATCAGTGAAAACGGCGGTGCGGGTGGAGGCGGCGGTGACAATCGGCTCATTGGCGAAGGGCACAAGTAGACACATTGAACTAATCATCACTGCAGGCACCATTGCATTGCTATTGAGTGTGATTGAAGAATCAGACCCCAGCCTGATTGATGCATGTCTATGTTGCCTGCGGACTCTTGCCCAGCATGACACCAAGATTAGGAATATTAAATACACATTGAGCCAACTAGAGAAATTGCTGAGCTTTGCAGGCCCAGCTGAGAATATGTTGAGGCAGTCCTGTGTGGCAAGCATATTGATTGCCGCGTGTAGGGGCGCACAGGAACAGAACGATTTGTGCACAGTGCATGCACCTAGCGTACTCGCGTCGTTGGTCTGTGTCGAGCATCTGGCTGTGCGCATTCCCACGTTGACTTGCATCGCCGCGATGAGCTTTAACAATAAGGCGGCCGCTATGGAGATTGCGAACACGTCTTATAAAGATATCAAGATTCCTTATGTTTTAGTTGAATTAGTTTCTAGAGATAAACCTATTGAGATGCAGCTGGAAGCTGCCAAATGCTTAACGAATATTCACAGGTAATTGTTTCATTACAAACACTGAAAACTTAAATTTTCCAACCTGTTGTTTATTTTATAGAGCTGGTGTAATACCATCTACAGATCCAATCATCACGTATCGAACGCTTCCCTGCTTGGTGCGCATCTGTCAAACAGAACACACCGAAGAGCAACGCGCGCGAGCTGCGGACACGCTAGCTTACTTAACCGAAGTCGACAGCGACTTGCAACAAACAGCGGCGATTTCAAATCAGTTGGTATCTTCCCTTGCGACACTTCTAGTATGTGAAGGTGCAGCAGCACGACAAGCCGCCTTTCGAGCCTTTGCTTCCCTAGGTGCAAATGACGAGGATATTCGCAAGCGCATTATCGAAACACAACTCTTAATGGAACGGGTGGTACAGGGTCTTGGTGATAACGACGAGAATGTGCGTCTTGCCGCTGTGCGGTGTCTGCATTCACTCAGCAGGTCGGTGCAGCAGTTACGCACGACGTTTCAGGACCATTCGGTTTGGAAACCCATCATGGCATTATTAGCAGGTATTTATTTATCATTTCGAATTCATTTCAAATATTTTGTGTAATTTTAAATGTTTAGGTTCACCCCCTTTTGAATTACTTAGCGCGACATCTTCCGCATTGTGCAATCTACTCCTCGAGTTCTCCCCAGCGAAAGAATCGATGATCCAACAAGGTGTCATCCAGTTTCTGGCTGCTCTAACGACGAGACCTGAACCCGCGCTTCGATTAAACGGAGTGTGGGCACTGATGAACCTCGCGTTTCAAGCAGATCAAAAAGTTAAGTCAAACATCCTCACCGCACTCGAAACCGATCAAATCTTCCGACTACTCGCCGATATGGACGTGCGAGTTTTAATGAAAACGCTAGGTTTATTAAGAAATCTCGTCTCGCCGCGTGAGCACACCGATAATATGATGACGCTGCATGGGCCACAAGTTATGCAAGCGGTGGTTTTAGTTTTGGAAGGTCCTCACACACCAGAAGTAATTATTAAACATTCTTGCACTTCTTTTATATAACAAAAAATGTATATTCTAGGTGAAAGAACAAGCCTTGTGTATATTAGCGAACATCGCCGATGGTGAACGAGCGAAAGATCACATCATGGAAAACGAGGACGTGTTGAAGAAACTAAAGGACTACATGACACACCAGGCGCCCGGGCTGCAGGCAGCGGCAATCTTTTGCATCGGTAACCTGGCACGCAAAGGTGAACCCGGCGCGTTCGAAAGACAAAACAAGCTGAAAGAACTCGGAATGATCAACATTCTGCATCAGCTCGCGTCGACCACCTCCGACAGTCTTCTGTTCGATAGGTAGTTTGATCGTTTCGCACACCTCATGTACAATGTACACATTTTTAAGCACGCACGCTATGCGTATTCTTATTCCGGTTTGCTTTTGGACGTGGAATAAGAATATTCTTAAACTATGACTAATATACTGTCAAATATACACCGATCGTTACCATTCGCCGCATTCTCATTGAATACCCCGGAGTTAAACGTGTCGTCTGTTTCAGAGTAAAGTCTACACTGACGCACTTTCCCGATCTGTGAAGTTTATGAATTTATTTATACTGATAAGTTACTCTCGTGGTGCAGCTACCAACAAACGAATGTCCAAGCAAAAGAAAATGAAAAACGAAATGTAATTCAATGTGATGTGTAGACTGATGACATGCTCATAGTATTTATCGTTTATTTGTTCAAAGGATAAAACATTTGACAAATGAATCTCTTAAAATCATCAGTGTCATTCTTTGATTCGTAACCGATCCGCATTTCCTAACGAAAATAAGATCCTTTTATCGGATCCTGCGCAATGTGGTAAAAAGTTTGACTGCAATTCCACTTTAAGACAAATTAATTGTGTTTGCTTCTTCATTTTTTTTAAACGTGATAAATAATTTTGAAAATATAAATAACTCATCTTTATCACCCTTCTGCGTTGAGCACAAAACAAAATGTTTTTATGAAGGGACAATGCATAGTGGCGCCCCCTCTGTAGGAAATCCCCTGGAAAAACATTTGTTTGTATAATCACTTATCGCTTGGCATTTCCTTATCACAATACATGCATTGTAGTGGCGCCCTCAGCGCGGAAAAGCCTATATTACCGACGCAAAAGAAAAACCAGCGTCAACACAAATAGCATGTCATTTTCGCGATGAAAACTAGCTCATCACCTCAATACTAGTTATCACCCCCGTTATCACCACACGCCGCGTAACCACGCGAACATATTCAAAATGAAGACGATGCAACAGTATTGGGTGACGAAGAAGAGTGTTGCACGCAAGTTTGGTGGCAAAGAAGACGAATGTATCATCTCCTCGGATGCGGAACTCGACGCAAAGCTGGAACTGTTCCGTTCCATCACCGAGAGTTGCGCCCATTTACAAAAAGTCATCGATATGTACCAAGAGCGCTTATGTTTACTGGCGCAGGAAGAGAACGCATGCGGGCGGTACATGAAAGAGTGCGGTAAGAATGAGAAAAACGCCTCTGCTGGACAAATATTAACAATCGCCGGTAAATCACTTGCGTATTCTGGGCACCAACGACTCACACTACGACCATCACTGGTAAGACTCCACCATGAAGTTGAAACATTCCGAGGGCGAGCTGTTTCGGACACTAGAGGAACCGTAATGGAAATGGAGAAGACTAGAACTGAATATCGCGCTGCACTAAGTTGGATGAAATCTGTGTCGACACAACTGGATCCGGATACTGGGCATGGCCTGGAGAAGTTCAGAAAAGCACAGGCTTATGTAAAAAGCTCCAAGGTGAAATTCGACCGCTTGATGTTAGCTTGTTTACAAAAAGTGGATTTATTGGCAGCGGCGAGGATGCAACATGTTTTCCCACGCGTTAGTAGCGTATCAAAAGTCTTTGAAGACATTCTCGAATAAAACCTACGATACTCTCATCGTAGCATTGAGCAGACTTCAAACTGTAGAGCCTTATGATTTCACCATTGTATCTGAACTAGCTGTAGGTCCAAACAACGACGAAGAAGTTGATAAAGATAAGAAAACTTACTTCAACTCTGAATATTCCGACGATAAAGAAAAATCAACCACCACGGTAACATCCACTGAAGACAATAAAGAGCCAGGAATTAGTAATGATTTACTTGGTGAAGATTTTACGCAGTTTCAACAAAATCAAACCGTGGCCGAATCAACAACTCACTCCGAATTGTTCGGTTTGAGTTGGCCATCGGCATCTTCGACGAATATATCGGATGCGTACGCTTCAAGTGAATTTATGCCATCGACCCTACTCCAACAAGATTTCCTCTCGTCCATGCAAACACAATCAACACCAAGTCAAGAAGAAAAGAACGAATCGGCGGACAAATCTAAAGCTACCAACGAAGCCCCAAAATCATCGCAGATGTCTTGGTTGAGCATGTTTGCGGAACTGGATCCACTCGCGCAGGAAATTGACGCTAATGTTGGAGATAGGGCATAAGGATAAGGCGTCGCCATTTTGTTTATGCAGCCATTAAACAAACGAGCGATCGACAACTAGAATCTCCAAAAATTACCCCTTGCCATATACATTGACTTCAAATTTTTGCACCATAAATGTTGTATATTTAAAATATAGAAATATATTATATCCTCATAAGAAAAAGAAACGTTTTAGGGTACTATATATATCATTACTAATTTCTCTTTTACTAACGTTATACTACTTATTATTTATTGCAAAATAAATTTAAGTAAAGTAATCCTGAGTGATAAATTAATCTAATAATATCTTGCAAGTAAATAATCTAATTTTACACCAAATGCAATTTGTACTTGGTTATGTTTTGATTGATTTATGAAGTGAATTCTGTCTTAAATGTCTACCTCTGTTCGCCGCATGAACTCTGACGAATGTATTGATTTAAACCGGAATCTAACGCGCAAAACAGTGCAGCGTATATAAACAACTATTTAAATTCTAAATACCTTTAAATTTGCAATTCAAATTGCAGGTGATTTGCACACAAAAGTCCAGAATCTTCCAGAAACTACTTCTAGTCACTCTACTGCATATCATAGAGATAAAACTGCATCAATGGCTCAAAACTTTAACAAAATATTTGTCTATGGCAGCTCAGTTGCTCTCATAGCAGTGATTCTATATGGCGTAAGAAAATACAGATCAAAGTCATGGGGAAGATGCACCAACAAAGAATCATTGGTTGGAAAGACAGTGCTCATCACTGGAGCAAACAGTGGACTTGGTTATGAAACAGCCAAGGAACTAAGCTTAAGAGGAGCTGATATCATCATGGCTTGTAGAAATAAAGACCTAGCACAGAAGGCTATAACAAAAATTGAAAATTCTAATATCTCCAATAAACTGCTCTTTATTGAAGTGGATCTTGGATGTCTTGACTCAGTAGTCAAGTTTTCTTCTACTGTGGCACAGAAATACTCAAAAATTGATATTCTGGTGAATAATGCAGGAGTTTCTATTCCTAACAAGCAAAAAATGACAACACCTGATGGTTTGGAGATTCATTTTGGTGTGAATTATCTGAGCCACTTTTTGTTGACAACTTTAATGATGCCTCTTTTGGAAAAAGCAGGACATGCAAGAGTTATCAATGTTTCCTCACAACTACATCAGAGGGGATCAGTTAATTTGGAAGACATTAACTATGAAAAGCATCCACCAAAAAGAGCATATGCTGATTCTAAACTGCAACAGATTTATTTCGGACAAGAATTGGCTAATAAGACCATGAATAAGAGTATTCAAGTGTATAATTTGTGCCCAGGATGGGTTTATACTAATTTGTTTAGGCACAGTATCCGAAATGTGTTTAAACTAATGTTTGCAATACCAGTTGCTTTCTTTTTTATGAGATCAGCTAAACAAGTAAGTGAGATTAAAATAAATCAATTTAAAGCTGTATTGATTATGTTTCTGATTTAACAGGGAGCACAAACGATTATTTATTGCGCAACCGAACCTGCGCTTAAAGAGGAAAGTGGAAAACTATATCGAGATTGTCATCGCTCAACATCGACGTATGAGTTTACCCCAACCGAAAGAGAACAACTATGGACAGTATCAAAAGATCTCATTGAAAGTAAGGGTATCAAAGTACCTGAAATTTAATTTAGCGTACCGTTATGTTTGCCGCTGCTTAGAACGCATTTAAAACACAAATTTGCCGCATCGTGTGATAGAACGTCCTTACAACTAGAGTTATAAAGATAAATACATATATATTGTACAAAAGGTACACCAGAAATAAATATTGAATGTTAAGCTGAAATTTGGTTGTAATTACCTTATGATTTATGATTTGGGAAGTCGATATAGCCCACCGGAATACACAAGTTGATGATCCCGGACTTTGCGATCCAGAAGTTGGCGCAACTCAGCAACACTACACTCGATCGTCGGTCCTTCAAATGCGAACATTTTCAACATTTGATGAATGCGTTCCAGCGGCATCGAGTCGAGATTCATTAACATTCCGTTAATGTACGACCACATTGTCTGAGAACACAAAATTGGTTAAAACATAAAAACAAAATGGCGCAGATAAAGCTTAACGACGATTCAGCCGAAGATGGCCGAACATGATATAGGCAACAACAGTAACATAAAGAGACATTACCTGTAATTCTTCCTCTCTTTGGTCTTGTGCACTCGCCATTGCACTCTCAGCTTCCTCCTCGACGACAATATCACACGCATTATTAATAGTCGCCTCTTTATTTGGTTCCTCTTCAGTCAATTCAAAGACATCAGGTTGTATCTCAGTAATTAATCCGCGACTTTGCCAGAAAGAGATTTTTTTCCGTAGATTTGTAGCTGGTACTTGCATTGTATGACTTAATTCATCCAATTTCCACACACTTTTATCTTGAAAATGCATAATAATCGTAGCATGCACTGGAGTAACAGACAAACTAAGCTGCCTATCAGGTAGTTCAATCTCAATATCAACCAGGCCCAAGTGTGACATCCACGTTAAAGTTCTATTCCCTTTCAAAGTCTCAAAACCTTTCGTAAAACGCTCTAATTGTTCAGTAATCTTTTCATGCAACTGAAGTTTTTCATCTTTAAACACCGGCCAAAATTGTTTCGATAGAATTATCGCATTCATCGGCACATCCACCTCGATATACTCTACATCTTGCTTGATATGATGCGAAATACGCTTTGAATCCGCTATATCTTTCATCATAACTCCACAGGAATTCAATTGTGTGTCACCGAATCGCAACTTCATCAATTCTAAATATCGTATTTCTTTTTCTGTATCGCATGTTAGCTGTGTCAACAAACGATCAGCAAGTAACGTGCGATATTCACTAATAAAAAGTTCCTTACTACCATAGACATTGATAAGCATTGATACTATATCTTGATTTCGGCGATTGTCAACTGGTGGTTTCGTGTTTTCAACTTCAATTGGATCGGGTGTCCATAACATACAAGATTTCCATTTGTCAAAGTCTTCTTCATCGGTTGTTGTTTCTTCGAATGGTTGTACATCAGCGTGGACTAATTCTTCTGACAGATCATTAGGTCCTTCTTCGATGAAACTCAGCACTACGCAGCGGATAGTGTCTGAACGAGAGCGGAGGTATTGATGTACTGGTTTTGTGATAGATTCAAGAAGAGCACCGGAAGAGTCTAAGACTCTCATCGAGCGAATTGCAGCTATGTAAGCTGTGAGTATGTCCGGAGTACTTACGCCAGGATGTAATAAACGAGTTTCCATGGATAATCGTAACTTCATAGTGAGAATTGGGCGTAAATTAGTCTTTTTTAAACATGCACTGATGTCTTCTAATGCTGGTAGTGATTCAGGATATTCTAAACATAAAATTATTGTAGTTAAATAACAAAATTTCATGAAATATCCTTACTTACCTATAATAATTGTAAACAATTGTGAAATTCTCATCAAAGTATAAGTTTCAAATAGAAAGTTTTGCAGTTTCATTGATAAAGCTGCTGTTACAGGTGCATCAACAGAAAATGGAATTTTTTCGAGCCAAGGAATAATAACTTCCGATAACCACTGAAAACATTAAAACAAAAGCCTAAATTTCTTCAATTTCTCAATAAAACAGCATTTACCCGTGTTAATGAATGACTACCATTAGAAGAAATAAATGACACATCAAATGTGTCTTTACAAGTTTTCTCAATGTGTTTTTCTATGTAGACATAAATCAAATCAGTTAATACTTGTCCAATTAACTGCTCAACAAGGTCCAATGCAAGTAATTTCCTACAAATAAGACATAAAATATTAACTCTTATAATATTAAACTTATTCTTATAATAACTTACACATTTGTTTCATGAAAAGACTGCAGACAAAGACAATTATCCTGCAAGCATACTGTGCAGGCATTATCAACCATACATGGACCATTTTCCTTAATTTTTAAAGCTGTTTCATAGAAACTTTGCACTGTGTGTTTGTAATGCAATGGCATCTGAGCAAACAATAATGCCTTGAAAATTACAACCAATGCTTCTACAACTGTTTCTTTTTGATACACTGGCTTTACAAAGTTAAGTTTCTTCCTAATTTCGTCAATGGTATTTGCCAGAACTCTAAATTGCATGTGATATTCATCCAAAAGTTCAACTGCACAATAGAAATTCTTGAATCCATCACTTTCTGACTGGTGCAATTTGAAATACTGCCAAAATTCAGGCACTACTATTTCTCGTACGTGTTTCTCTATGCGATTTATTACGAGATTTTGAATTATTTCAAATAGAGAAGTTGAATTGAATGAATTGGCAAGATTTGTTAAGTTCTCTTCGGGTACTTTGTTAAATGGCTAAAAATTATTTACAAATTTGTATAGTTTTAAGGTTACATATAAGTTTTTAAGGGTTTTTCAGAAAACTCACCAATGAATACGTATCACACAATATGGGAAACGTAGTTTGGATTGTATTCCACATTTTGGCTTTATTATCCATTGTAAATTGTTATTTGAAACCAATTTATTAAAAGTTTAAACTTTTGCAACGGACTTCTCGCGCACTTGTTTTCGTTTGGGTTTTGACATTTGACATTGGATCAAATTGGAAATGAAAACAACCGAAATTTGCAGAATAAATCGCAGAAGAAATACATAAAAGCTGTCTTGTCTGATGTAAGGCAGCAGTTGTCGTTGTTTTTGTTGCAAGTTGAATAAATGTCTTTATTCCTATTATTTATCAAATCCTATCAAGAAATTCACAAATGGTTTCACATCTTGTAAATTTTCCCGTTGCCATAGCAACACATAGAAAACTTTTAAACATTTACAAATGAATGGAGGACTCTAATACAAAAATTCCAATAATATGTTAACGGAACTTTATTTCTCTGATTTCTGAATCAATCCAAGAAGCAATACAAAAGTCCTACAACAAATAATCAGAAAAAATATTTATTTTTCCATGGTAATATATTAATTTCGAATAAAATTTTGGTGTCAAGTCTAATATAAGCGATAAATAACAATAACAAGTGAAATAATATAAAAAAAGAATCTGTGCGTCTTATATTTTTCTCTGAATATTGCAAACAGAATCTACTGTACTGTACAAGACTAGAGTAACCTGTGATAGTTGAATGCATTTGTATCGTGTCCATTCGTCGGCAAACAGCAACAAATATTTAAATTACTTTAAATAAGAATTAACTAAAGAGTCTCCCAGACTCAATTGTGTGACGTAATTGTATTAATTAATAATATAACATCGTAACTTTGATGAGCAGACACAGATAAGTGTAAAAAAACAAAAAACAATTATTTGTAAATTGAAACGTTGTGTGATGTATCAGCATTTAAAGTATTTCGTTTGTGAATTCATCAATATTGAACCAAAAGTGCTTAATTATTATTACAACGCGTATAAAATGACTGAAAATCTTCTATTGAAATAGAATTTACGCTTTTTGTTCGAACGCTCTAACTAAATAATACTTTGTATTTCAATATTTAATGCTGTTCATGTCTCTCGCACTGCTTTTCTCTTACCATTAATTAATTCTTGTGAAAAATTTAAGTTAATATTTACAAAATACTTTACGAATCATCATTATCATTCAGTTGCGCTCATTACGATTAAATGAGCGCCCTAATTGGTTTCGCTTACGCTGTATGTGAGCATGCAATAAATATCTGACTAGTCAACGTCGGGGTGCTGCGTGATCTTCCGTGACGACCACATCCAGTACATGAACTTTGAAAACGAACTCAGCAGCCAGGGAAACGCGCCGCCGCCTAAAAGGATGTTCTTGCAGAAATACCTTAAATAATCAGTGTGCATTATTAAGGAAGAATACATTTTCACAGAAATATCTTGAAATTGTTAAATAAAACTAAATATTTTGTTAATTTGACTTGAATTAATATGAAAAGGATATATTAATGTCCATGGTGAATGGCCACCATTCACATAAAGGACGTATGTGAATCCATCATTGCATCTACCTTTTATTGAATAGTAATATGGTAGAAAGCAATGCAGTTTAAACCTGTCAACATTGAATTGCACAATATATTGACACAAAGATAAGCTATAATAAGTCTACTCACTTTTTGTTCTCATAAAACATGATGGCAGCTGAATTGGTTGTAAGCACGTGTAAAAATATGGCTTTTATTTTGTTCCTATCATTAGATGTGAGGTGATTGATCAATGAATTAAGCAGTAGCGATGCTATTCCATTCCTTCTGTATTGCTTCGCAACGCCCAATGACAGTATGTAGGCGACATCACTGTGCTTCAGGAAGGAGTTCGCCAGAAATCCTTGATCTTCTGAATTTAGTGATGCGTACGGTTTGATTTCGGCGACGATTAGGCCAATTATTATTTGATTATAAGTTGCAGCAAGAGCATAGAACCTTAAAACCACCCAGAATGATGTTAGAAACGTTAACAATTATGATTTTATAAAGAAATTAAGTCTCCCAATGAAGAATTTATAATATTAGTTGATGATTTTCATTAAAATCGCAGATTTCAATGTTTGTTTATGTTTATTACTCAAAATAAAAATACTTATGTCTTAGTGAGTATAATTTATAAAATAATTGTTTGAACTTTAACCAAGAGTAATTAAAAGTTAAATCATGTACCTTGTACCAGAGGTAATCTCCTCATACCATGACAATGGATATTCAATAGGAAACCAATCCTGGCACAGTGTTCGAACTTCATCCAAATCATTGGGACAAAGAAACCTCAATTGCACATCAGCAAGAGAATAGAGTGGTATGTGATCAATCAAGTAATGTTGGTTGAGGGCACCATTGCTGTTTTCATTTTGATACCTGCAAAAGTACATGTGAAGTATGCTGTAGCATGATGTGTGCTGATGATCAATGACATAACAAAATCCAACTTGCCATACCAACTAATCCCAGCCATAGACGTAGTATATCAAAGACTGCACAATTACTGGCTCTGGTGTTGTTGTTGTTGATTTAGCAGTCAGTGGCATCAACCAAAGCGGCGAGTTGTTTTCATTGAGGACGTATTTCCCTGCAAGGTCCTTGCGTGTTTTCCGTAATGTTATGTGGATGTTGTTTTAATGGATGTACATAATTTTCCAATTTAACAGGTATAGCTCCATTTCAGGCGACTGCAATCGTTGCACTAGAAGCACTCGTCGAACGCGAGACCCGCGAGTCGTCCAACGAACGCAACCATTTGCGATTAGCGCCGATACGGACTAATTTCAATTTATTCTATTTATCTGTCAAAGATAAGAAGAAAATGTGTGTGACTTGCAGTGAGTATGAGTAGTTTGACTTGGTTGACTTGTGTCAAACTAGTCAAAACTCAACTCAAATCCCTGATTCATTCACGGCATTCGCTTATCGAAGTACATGAACGCGAAACAACTTCAACCTAGTCATGATTCATAGCACGATAAGCAAGAATTGCAAAAGGGTTTCGCGCAGTAGTAAAGTCTAGAAAAATTTGCATTTTTGAGGTTACATTAAGGACGAGACTGGAGACTGAAAGCGATACGAGCGGAAGCTCCTGCTGCTTCTCCTGCTACCTTTTACCCACCACTCCTTTGATGTTGTTAATGTTTAAACGACGAGCATGGTCTCATCTCCGCATTCATACAATTCCAACGCGTTCCTGCGGCTCGGTTAACGCAAACAGTTTGGTAGCATGGCTTGGGGAAAAGTAAGCAGCGGCCAGCGTGCCATCGTCGCCAGTCAAGTTGTAACTTTCTACGAAAGCAGATGAGCAGCAGGACGTACAACAATAGAAAACGTTCGAAATGAAAGTTGTTACTTGCATTGCACCAGTCAATATGGCTGTTATTAAATATTGTAAGTTATTTTGAATTAAATTTTAACTAAACATTAGTAAAATGCAGTCAAAACTTTACTAAACTCACTAGTTCTCGACAATTTTGTTTATTTTGACACGTCTTCGGTATTTATTTCCGTTTTAATAACTTGATGGAGATAATACAATAAATTTCACTTTGTGCTTAATTAAATCAGTGTATTTTGTCAACATTCCACTATTAATTTGAAGCTAATAGCACATTCCAACCATCAGAAAGTAATTTATTTGGTATGCATTTAAAGCACCTTATTAAATTCTTAATTTAGCTGCTCTAGGCACACTTTTATGATGTATTCTATAAAAAATATATGGCTAACTTGTTTCAAAAGTTTTTTCATCTTTTAATGCAGTTTAAACAACGTAGTAAACGCAAATTGCTTAATTTCGCTCAAAATTGAATTATATACAAGTACAGTTATACAATTTCTCTATTAATTTGATTATTATCGCTAATTATGGCGGTTAAAATCATTAGAGACTAATTCGTCTCATGTATAATTAAATTTACTGCAATTTTAAACTGAAGCATCACATTTTTATTAGTTAAATGCGTTTTTCTTCGTATTTTTGTCTAAAACATGTAATTTGTAGAAGCAATTTCATAATTGAATCATTTTAGATAATGTGGTCGAAGTTTCCCAGTTAATTTAAATATTTATGGTTCTGGAAACTGATTTATTGACATTTATATTGAACTCATGCTCAAAATTAGATTTCAAGCTTTACTTCCATGAAAATCACGTATTTTTACTTGAATTAAAGATTTTATAACTTAAATCAATTTAAAACACTTTCACATAACAACAAAATTATTTACTATTTCATTTTTATAGGGGGAAAGCGTAATGACGAGTTAATTCTACCCATAAACGACTCAATAAGCTGTACACTTTCAATGGAACACGTAAGTGATTAAAATTATAATCAATACTTGTGTTAAACCAACATTTGTTATTAAGATGAATGCAAAAACAACAATAGCTGTAAGCCCAGACTTTACCGAATCTCAATTCTGGCTGAACGGCGTCGAACAATCAATGGACAACAAGCGATTTCAAAACTGTGTGAATGAATGTAAGTTATATTTAAACTTTCTTTTACGCGCTGCATAAATTTGAATAACTTTAACACACTTTGTTTGCGCAGTAAAACGTCAATCAAAAGAAACCGATATGTTATCCTGGTGCATACGAATCTGCTCCGAAAACAACTTCCCCACCGCCGCTGGCCTTGCATCCTCTGCTGCCGGCTACGCTTGTTTAGTCAAAGCGCTAGCAACAATCTACAACGTCACAACAGACTTATCATCAATCGCCCGACAGGGTTCAGGCAGTGCATGTAGAAGTATTCATTCTGGCTGGGTCCAATGGCATAAAGGCATTCTTAATTCCGGTGAAGATTCCATCGCTACACAACTCTACGATGATTTACACTGGCCAGAAATGCGAATTTTAGTTCTAGTCATCAACGACTCAAGGAAAAAATACAGTTCAACGTCAGGAATGAAACAGAGCGTGTTAACTTCGGAATTTCTAAAACATCGCGCTTCTGAAATAGTCCCACAACGTATATCCGACATGAAAGATGCTATACATCGTAAAGATTTTCATAAATTCGCTGAAATTACAATGCAGGATTCCAATCAGTTTCACGCGGTTTGTTTAGATACATTTCCACCGTGTGTCTATTTAAATGACACATCGCACGCGGTGATAAATTTAATCCATGCGTATAATGCGTTCAGGGGACGTAACAAAGTAGCTTATACCTTTGATGCCGGTCCAAATGCATGTCTATTTTTGCTGGAGGAAGATGTTGAAGAAGTGTTAGCAGTTGTGAATCATTGTTTTCCAACTGAAAAGCCCACTGAAGATTATTACAGAGGAATTGAGGTTTCAGAGGGTAGTTTTCCGGTTGGTTTAGACGCGCCTGTAATGGAAACTGATTGTTTGAAGTATATTATTTGTACTAAACCAGGAGAAGGTGCTAATGAGATACATTCTGGGCATTTGTTGAATGATCAGGGGTTGCCAAGTACTTAAAACGATATCAGGACTTTAACAAGACAATACAAGACAATAATTACCTAGTAGTAATTTCGTAACATTTATTTTTATAATAGTCTACCCATGATTTGACTTTTTTACATTTTATCAGCTAGTTGGAGGATTTATGTTGATGCCTCTGGAAATAGAAGTAAATTTTAAACTTAATCATTAATACTCTTTGACTTTACAAATAATATTAATATTTCACTCAGTTTTTAGTATTTTGGAGTTATTCAAATCAAATCAAACAAAATAATTAAAAAATCAGTATTTGTAAGTTTTGAAATCTTTGCACACTGTTTGAAAACTAACTTACAATAAATGACTTATTCTCCCCCTAATTATATAACATAAATTGCATTTAATAACTATTTAAATATCTTATTTATTAGTATATCTTACTCTCTGGTTTGCCATCCACCCATTGTGTTATTTTGATCACAGATGCTCCTCTCTTGGCAGCATCAGCTCTGAATTCAGGTTTCAGTGCTTCCCTCAACATTCGGGCAGCGATGGTGGAGTAGTTAATGTAGCTGAAATAATAAATTTAAATATATTTAGTAAGATATGAGAGGTTATTGAAAATGAGCACTACTTATCAAACAAATGAAAGTCGATGACTACTTATTGATTTTCTATTATTAACAGTGCTGTAAACTGTTTAGTTGCAATTAGAATACTTACTTAAGTCCAGCGGCTCTCCAGGCAGTCATTTTTGCAAAGTTATATAAGTTTTGAGAACAATCCTGCAGGAAACCAGACAAAACTAGCCGACAAGAAGCACACTTAAAATGGCGACTGCTGTTATGTCACATTCACTCCCTCCATAACTCGAGTATTCTAACTTGAAATGTGGCGAGTGCAAACGAAATTTTACGATTTTTATTTCATGAATAAACTAAACTCGTTTCTTGTTGCATGAAAATAATTCTAATAATATATACTTAGGTTTAGTATTGTTATGAATAGATCATACCAGTCTTAACACTGATAAATGGTTACATTTGCATTTGGAAATTTCAAATCAAACAGCAAATCGTGCATGTTCGTGTTTCAATTTATAATTCAACTCCGAAAACTCTGCAAAACAAACCTTTAACCTAAAAACACATGAAATCGCTGCAAATTGTTTTCTTTCTTATAATAATAGTACATTTTCTCTATAAACATGGAGTGTATAGTGGCCAATGTAGAAAACTTTCGTTTTGATATAGAAGTTGCCTTAGATGAGCAATTTGGAGCATTACCATTGCCATTCTCTGGCATGGACAGTAAGTTGCTTTCAAAACAAACATCAAATCTTATTCTAAATATTTATTTTGTATTTATCAGAATCTATAGCTGCTGTATGCCAATTTTACTCTTCACCAATGGGCTGCCAAAAAGGTCCTCTGTGTCCATTCCGCCACGTCCGCGGTGATAGAACAATTGTCTGCAAACATTGGCTGAGAGGCCTGTGCAAAAAAGGAGACCAATGTGAATTTCTTCATGAATATGACATGACAAAAATGCCTGAATGCTACTTTTATTCGCGCTTCAACGCCTGCCATAACAAAGAATGCCCCTTTCTTCACATTGATCCAGAAAGCAAGATAAAAGATTGTCCATGGTATGATAGAGGTTTTGCAGGCATGGTCCACATTGTCGTCACAGACACGTGCGTCGCGTGTTATGCACAAATTACTTAGCTGGATTTTGTCCGGATGGAGCTGACTGCAAATATATGCATCCCAGATTTGAACTGCCAGCACCACCAGACCAGAACATGAAAGATTTAAAGAAACCGCCAGTGATTATTTGTCATTTTTGCGGTGAACACGGCCACAAAGCGATTCACTGTAGTAAAATGGGCAATGATGGTCCACATCATATGAACGATGGTCATGGTGGTATGCAGGACGGACCGCCACAGTATCAGCGAATGCCTCCCAAGAAATTAGAAGATGTAACGTGCTACAAATGCGGGAATAAAGGACATTACGCTAATCGTTGTCCGAAAGGCCATCTGGCGTTTTTATCTCAAACTAAATCAATGCACGATAATCATGATAAACAATAAGACATATTTATTATACGAAAAAATCCTGAAAATCTGCTATTTGTACAATAATTAAGTATAGAAATAGATGAAAGAAGACTCAGAACGACTTTCACATGTGTCATGTTTATTTCTCTCTGCATTATATAGTAACATTTATTGAACATCACATTTAGTTTATTATTTTTAGGGTTTCAACTTTATTTAGCACAAAACGCAATAAAATACGTCTTTGTTTCCTGCTTCTCATTATCATCATTGCACGAATTAAACAATTACAATATATTCGTAAGTAAACTCTTTCTCTGTCTAAATACTTTAAATTATTTATAAATTTATACACTTCTTCGTGTTTTACACCCGTATCTGTCTTTTTAAGGCCCTTCTCTAGGCTCATCATGGACAACAACTTGATATTTGTCTTTCAGTGTCTTCTGTTGAATAAAAACAGATTTTTTGACGCTGCAACGCAATTTTACACAAAAATACAATGAAAACTAAAAGCAACATCAAATAATCCGCAGTTATTCAACATTTACAATGCAATCTCAAAACAAACGTACACAGTGTACAGTACATGAATACATTTGTAACAATTATACAAAGCAACACCCTGTTTTGTTTGTTATTGATTGTTAGAACCATCGGTTTCGAACCTAGAATGATTGATATAGAATCTGAAAGTATCGTCAACATTGTATATAGAAGATTTGATATATTTGACGGTCGTTAAAGCATACGATTCTCAACGTTCGATAAACAATGTCTTTTACATTGACTATGATTGCGTGTAAATTAAATATGTTTGTACTGATGATTGATTTATGCATGTAACCACGAGTTATTGTAGTATATTACTCATTTAAGTTGAACAGCAACAACATATATTTATTCATTATATATATTTTTATATTTATATCATTTCCTTTTTAGTTGTGTATGCATAGGGGTTAGGAATATTTTTTGGAGGTTAACTCAAAGTCAAACATAACCCAAACTCTGAACGTTGTTCTTAAACATTATGATTATGCATTAACGCCAGATGTTTGTGTGTAAGTATATAAATATATGTGTATTGTATATGATTCCTATCTATGTGATAGCTAATTTTTACGTGTAGTATTCACTTGTTACAATATGAAAGATTGTCAACCAGCCGAACAGGAATAAACGTCCTTTACATTTTACATTTTTGCCCAAGTCAAGGGGTTTAAAGATATTATATTCGCTATTTTAACTCTCGTCAGCTTTACATCTTTTACTGTAAATGTCAAGTTTAAATGTTTCATCTCCCAAAACGCATCATTTAGTTACGTAGTTTTAATTGAGTTTTAGCAACACTGATTTAATATTCATAGACGTTTATGCTTACAATAGTAAATGTAGTAAACGTAGACTTGTCGCCGCCACAACTACGTCGTCGGACGATATACAATATTTTATAATTTATAGGAAAGATTGTCGCGTTTTCTCTGATTTAGGCCTTTTGTTTCTTTATTCAAATACTTAGAATAAGTTAGAACAAGAGAACACCAACAGCTTGTACGTGTAAGTAATGTAGGTACTCTCATTCATCAAAAAAACTCAAAATTACCTCCTTGCTAAACTAAACTATCTCATCAATATTACTGATTACGATTAGGCCATGTGATGTGACATGCGAAACAAAATGCATCAAAATGGCGTCCGAATGGCGTCCAACCTTGTGAATGGTATCAAAACGTTAAAATTAGAACACGCCGTTTCATGTTACATAGGATATCACTTTCTGTATTTTAAGCCAGGAAGACCACTCCTCCAATTTATTTAAATTAAGCAGATTCAGTCTCTCGATTACGTGTTTGTTGCAAACTCAACGTTTTGTGCAAATTGATATAAGCTCTAAAGTAGATCTAAGTACGTAAGTCCCTCGAAAAAAAGTTTATTAATATCAAGCGCTCAAGTAGTTAGAAGACACGGAAATACGGAAATAAATGGAAGGTGTAATCAAAAGTTGGATGATTCTTAGAGTTCCGTTTAATCTAGATATTGTCGTTTACCGCGAAATAAACTTCACTTGAAAGCAGAGAGATTGTTTTCATTCTTATCGCCGCGTACCTACGAAACTTTCGACGCTGTTTTACTGACAACGTCGTGTGGTACTTTTAAATAGGCCCCCGGAAGTCCTATGTAAAGCACTTGCATGACTTTATTTCATATCTACATCAACTATCTGATTTTTTCGTCTTCTTGAATAAAGTTTGAATAATTTGATTTCTCGAGTTTGATATGCGATTCTGAATATGTGCGAATTTTGATTGGTTTTGTTAGGTTATGTAACTGCGCTACTCGTTAAATTATATATTGTGATTGGTGTGTGGTTCATTACGTTACGTTTAACACTCATAAATGCCCCAATCAACGTTTAGTACGTACCATCATCTTCTGGCACTGCAAAAGCGTCGCCATGATTAATCAATCATAAAATGTAAACTCCATTTTGTTTTACATGTTTTACGGAGAATCATTCGAATCGGAGCCCAGGGAATGAATTGGGAACAACGGATACCAACCAGTTGTAAGTTGGGTTAGGGTGAGCAGGTCCAAAGAGATCTCAGCGCCACCTAGGCCTTGGTTATGTTCAAACCCACGCTGTCTCTCCCACAGCATAATAACAAGCGTGCGTCCGAGGACATCACAAGCCTGATATCTCAACGTTTGTCTAAACTGTGGTTCACAGGAGTGGCGATATACATGCGTTTTACGTTTTTGCAGCCAACGGTCCCCATCTCGTAGATAACACTTGACATATGTGTCTGGTGGTGTTTCGCGCGGGGCAATATGGCGGGCACATTGCACTTCCACCTCCAATTGACCCTTGGTCATCAACAATCCCAACTTAAGTTCGACGGGTTTCGTGCTCGACAATCGAAATCCTCGCGGTTTGATTTGTCCAGGTCCCAAACGCGGCGGCGATGTTCTCTCCGGACTTGACGGCGGCGTTTCTTTCGTTTCGGGCACTTCCTTCACGCTGTCCTTCCGCGCCGCTGATGTTATGCTCGGCGATCCTACAAAACGAGCAACGTATCGATTATATTACTACTCGTCGACGTGTGACACCGAGGATAATAAATGACAGCAGTGTGCGGCTCTTATTACTCCACACACGAGGGACTAGGACAATTATTATTTATAGCTCTAATTATCAGAGGAAATCTGCCGCCTTAATTTGAAGGCCTTTGAAGAGTGCTATATTTGTTTACAGAGGGTATGTACATTAATTGGATGCAGCTGATGTGTTTAGATAATTAATGAGCAAACAAGCTTAATGCCATTGCAATCAAGAAGTCGCTCGACGCGTGTGTTTATAATTCGATTAGCATCGACATGCATCCAAAAAATGAGCCACCAATTAAGCGATTGATACGTTAGAACGTTACAACAAACAAACAATGTCAGAAGCACTTTGATTTTGATGTTTTGAGTTTGAAGGGTTCTGTTGGGTTTCAGTGAAGGGTTTACAACATGTAGGTAGTTGTGACGGCTGATAACTTGATCTGCTCTGTGTTGTGGGGGGAAAGTTACGGTGGGCGGTTTCGCTACAAAGTCATTTGAAGCCGCACACAACCGGCCCCCGCCCGTGAAACCCTTGTCGGCACTCTCGGTCTTGAGATGATCCTAAAGTTGGGATTAATATGATAGTCAAGTGTTGGAAAGGTGCTTTAATTTATATGGTAATGCGGTGCATGTTACTTTGGCCGCCTGCGCGCGTAGCCGAAAGCAATCATAACTGCGCGCGAGAGCAAAAAAGACGCCCGAACATCAAGATACCAAACTCGAAGCAAACCCAGCGGCGCACGATTGACAAATCGATAGCTGTGGCGTGAAAGAATAGCAGCAGCCAGGCATGCACGATCTGCACGGCATATAAATGTTAAATATTTATAATAGAAGTGGACAGCTTACCCGGTGGCATTACATCTCCACTATAGGTGTGATAAAATTGTAGGTGTAGAAGAAGAATTAGGATTAGAAACATAAACAACTTGACGCACACGCACACACATGCTCATTATATCGGTGGGAGTCAAATAGAATCAAATCAACGTGCCGAATTTCATTTTTTCGCCTCAAACAGGAAAATTATTGAGTGGTACTTACTTCGATGGCGCTTCTCGCCCGTCAGACTCATCGTCCGACCCAGTTCTCCCTTGACCGCCTTGAGACTCTTGAGGATCTCATCCGGATCGCGCATCATCCGCGTGCAGCTACTCCTACGTCGATCCCTCGCCATGGAACTGGGCGGTGGCATTGCTGGTGCATCATCAGCCTGCTGCTGTTCCTGTGCGGACTGAAAACTGGACCGCCTTGAACCAGGCAAAGACCTTGAGAAATCTTTCCCCAACTGATAAACCTCCACTTCCAGTTGTTCACTCTGTGATGACCCACGGCGTGATCCCCATGCGTGGTCCGGATGTAACAGACTTGCACATTCTCCTATGGAATCCACATCATCGGAGACACTGCGTTGAATCCCGAAATCTGATCGACGACCTGTGATGGATCCACGTGGGGATGTATGTGGTGAACGACCACGCATCTGTCGAGGGTCTTCCAAACGACACCAGACGGCACGATCATCCAGGAAGGCTTTCTGAAGGTCTACGGTGCATTCGCCGAGGAAGACATGCTCATGATGTGGGACCAGGTCCCAGAGGGTGACGTCGAGCATGCGTTCCATTAGCTCGTCGCCCGGCACGCCCGGGAATGATAAATTCGCATTCCAGATGGGGTTCTGGCTGGCGGGCGCTACCTCCGTTTGCAGGCAGTGCTGTTCGCAGCTGGAAGATGATAGTCAATTAGGACCCACTTGGGTGTTATGGTCCATTTACATCTACTTGCACATGATCAATTTAGAAGTTGCCAAGTATAAAGTAGTTAGCGATTTTGATGTCGTAGAAAACTTTGCAATCAAAGAAATGATTTTTTTGCGTGAGAAATTTGCGCGAATTTGTTTTCTGCCAGTTGTACATCAAAAATATATCACAGGAAAGCGAAAAGAAACAAAAGTAATTTAACATACGTCAGCGGCATCAAGCACATCCTCGCATAGGCCTCCGGCAGCGCGCCGTATCCGAGATTCTCGTCCCTAGGGGGCAAATCGTCGGCGGCGAGCACCGCTACCACCAGCTCGCGCCGCTCGTCGTGATACCAGACCTGCAGCTGAACGCGACCACTCACCGTGCGCTCCCTTGCCAGCTGCTCCTGCAAAACGAATCACTTCAGTTACCCCAGTTGCGCGCCGCGCAAATCAGACAAAGCATTTTTATATTAGATATATTCGAAAAACTGATAGTGTGCCAAAAACCCAACCAAAAAAATAAAAGGAAGAAAAAACCAAAGACAAGAAAAGACTTGAAGCAGCGCCTAATATAGGATGAAATCTAAAGCGGTAGTTTAGTCACTAGTTCTCTTTTTTTATATTTAAGAAGTACACACTTTTCGATGTCGATGTGGGATGAGATAATCGATAAAGCAAAAACCGCGTTGCTGTTGCGGAGAGAGTGTCGGAGGGACGGCGAGTTCGTAATCCGTAATTGACCCAGATGTGTAATTTTTAATAAAACGTTATGCGGAACGCAGATTCGCACCGAATAAATTTCCTCATGCGGACATTAAAAGTCCATTACCTCATTTTCCCTATTAGAGAAAAAAAAAACAACTAAAAACTAATATTTCTATTATTGTTGCATTTATTGGCGTTTTTTTTTCGAAAAAAAAGTTCAACTAGAAGATAACAATAGTAGTTATAGATTAGCACACAGCAGAGTATGAGCAGAGCACAAAACATTCAATAAAACACACAAAAAACGTAACCAAAATCGAACGCATCACAAAATATTTGCATCCAAAGCCAAGTATTGTCTAAGTGAGAAGTTTACGTGCCAGTTGGGACAGAGCGGAAATCGCGTACCTATTTTATGTACTCGTACCGAGCATTTCGGTTCTCGTTCTCATTGCGATTGTGCGATTGAGCTCGATCGGTTCATTGATTGCATCATTTTCCAGCGCAGTAGTCCGCTTGCTATGAAAAATATTTGTACACACGAATGGAGGGTGACGGCAGACAAACAGGTGCGAAGGGGGCAGTGGGGGTGGGCTGGTGAGAAAAGGAGCAGCGAACGAAAGCCGGAAGTCGAGACGAAACACGCAACAATGGGCATTGTCAATAAATTTACTGCGGCAAGTTTTAAAACGTAAATAATTTCGTTTCACACCAAAACGAAAACGAAAAAGGAAAGCACAAATAAAAATCAAAACAGTGTTCAGTGAGAGAGAGAGAGGAATCGTAAATATAACGTGATATTGTGGAATGTTGAATTGATATTCGAATCAGTTGCATTTTATAGTTGTGTATTTAATGTGGGCACTATTAGATCATAGATCATAGATACATTTAAAGCACCTATACATTTTTTTTTGTTATTTTGTGTGGACTTCTGTCCCAGCTGACACCAAACGATGATATTACAACACAACAACATTCTTGAATTAATTAATGTATAATTATCGCCGGGTTCGCTTTTATACTTTGGTATAAAACACTCAAGAACGTAAATGAAACGAAAAAATCGAAATCTACAGTCAACAAAGGAAAATAAAATATAAAAATAAAAACAACAGACACCGACATTGCATCTCGTTAAGACCTACATTTTTATCCTATGTACATTGAAATTATAATGATAACAATATAGTCTTTTGTTTGTTTTGCTCAAACTAAATTTATAAATATATATGTTTCATATTGTCAATTGTACGTTTTTTCCTCTTTTTGGTTAGCAAACGCACAGAACATCAGATGCTCGTATTTACACATATTTTTGGGGTTTCTACCTTTTATTTCACTATTTACTATCTGTCTAGGTTGATAAGCACAGTCACAGTCACGCACATTGATTGTGTGATTAATTCTTGTATTGTATAATGATTGGTTTATCATTATCATGTTTAATAAAATATTTTTTTACCAAATGTTCAATGTAAATGCTCCATTTACATACACAATTTTGTTGTCTTTTTCACATTTTAACGCATGGATTAGAATAATACTGATTGTTATATGTATACATGATATGTCAAATTATTAGCCTCGTTGCAGAGACTGTTCGTACAAATTTTGCGATTTTCGATTTACAAGTTGATTTGTTTTAGTTTTACATTTATGCTAAATTTGATTTGATGGTGATTAACACATTTTTGCACAGCTAATGTTGTATACATATATTTTTTATATTTTTTATTATTTATCAATATTGTTTGTTCAGCTGTGTGTTTTTTGGGTTTCCTATCATTAGCGTTACAACAATTATGTTTATAGTTTTACCGACTAGTTTACACTCGTTAGCACTACAAGCTCTTCAATTTATAGGGGTTTATATATCTTTTTATCAGTTTATATATCATTTTATTGTTCATAACATCGTAATAGTTCACTACTTCTTTTTCAAATCTCTGTATTTCTAGTTAATGCTTGGACTGGTTTTTGAAAATGATTTTGTTAGCCCTGCGTTGATGATTAATGTTTATTATGACTGATATTGATATTTTTTGATATGTTGAAATAATATTTATCAAAAATTGAATATGTTTTGTTTTTTTGGTCATAAATGAATGTATTTTCAGCAAAAACTAATAATTGTTATTTGATTGCACTCGGAATGAATGAATATTGCCAATAATATCAATTTCCACATGAATAAAACTGTAAAACATGCAAATTATTTGTGATTGTGTATGTATTCAATGAAACAAAGATGATTTCCATGTATTATTGGTTGCAGCACAACTTAAATGTTAAAATGTTTGAGTATAATCAATTTTACAGTTTACTAAAGAATTATTAATGATATTTTATCAATAAAATCAATTTCTACATGATTTAATCTATAAAACGAGTTAATAATTGTTGAATTTGCATTGCAATGACTCAAAAATCCCTTCGATGTAATGTTGGTTGCAGTAAAACTCAAACAATGAATGAATTTTTAACGAAAAACCATTTTCCAGCCTAAGAAAATATAATTTATGCTAAAATATAGACTTTCTGAATATATAACGCGTCACATATATTTATCTGCTAACAACAATCTTGCAAACAATCAATAGTAAAGTTTCGAATGCGCGCAGAGTATGAAAGGCATGAGAGAAAGATGAGGCCGAATAAAACACAGTCACAGCGTGTGCAGTCGCGTTCGACACTCGCGCACGCAATAAATAAGTGTATCACAAAGCACTTATGCAAGCGGAAATAAGCTAGCTGAACATGTACATGATGGGTATTCACACGAGGTGTCTGTAGGCGCGCGATAGCGCACCAAGTGAAGCGAGAGTATGACACGTGAAATGCGCACGTGTACGTGCACGAATGCAGATGTGTCACCGAAACGACTCAATTAACGCCGGCTAATCATCATCGCTTGCGCAAACTGATGAGTCGAGGAAGAGACAATCATGCGACGAATGCGAATGTCAATTCAAACTTGGTTCAAACATTCGTCCCAACTTTCGTAGAACTATATAGATATAGTAGGTATAGATGCTAGTCTTAAAGCTTCGTTAATTTCTTTCTAATCAGTCGACGTCTAATAGCTAATCGTAAAATTCGTAACATTCAACATAAACATCACATTCTCCTGCGAATGTGTGTGATATACTGATTAAGATAGTTTTCATTTACATTTAGAGATTGATAACATCTCAATGTTTATGGTTTGCTCATAAAATATATCAAAATATCAGAAAGTGGTAGTAAACATTTGAGGTTATGTCATAAATTTATAACCTGCGTTTTACACCACCGCTTTTCTCGAATAGTTTCTGAGTATGTAAATTCTCGTATATAAGTATATATCGAAGTTGTAAGTAATCAACGTAAATATAAGTCAAGGTAAAAATAAAAACGAAACAAAAAAGACAACGTAAAAAGTAACACAAGATGTTAAGAGTCTTTTAGTTAACATTGTTTGTAAATAGGGTAGAAATTGGAAATCGATATTTATACCGGTGTTTTGGGAAGTTTCCTGCGTGTCGGCGACGACGGGCCCTTTTCGTTTTCCGGTTCTGTAAATAATTTAGACGCAACGATTTCATTGCCATCATTAGAACACTTTGAAGCGTAAACAAGATTAAACAAACCACACGCGTCGCTCGATCATAATCGTACAATTAAAAAGTTTTTGAAATGGGGGTGACTTACCTACGTGCAGCGCAATGATGTTCGCCTCGGAAGTCTTCCGCTGCATTGGCACTGGTACTGGGACCGTGACTGTTACGGGCGGCGGTGGCATTGGGTCGTCTAGTAAGTCGCACATGCGTAAATCAGTGGCGTGCTCCACGAGTAGTTCGATGACGTCGCCGGTGCGGTCCATGATACTGCAGACTTCCTCAAAGGAGCGATCTATCAGTGAGACGCCGCCCCATTCGAGGACTTTGTCGCCTTGTTGGAGGCCACCTTTTTCGGCGGGGCCGCCTGGGACTGTCCATACGATGTAAGCGAAGAGGCGGCCGTCGGGGGCTGTCTTGCCGCCGACTACTCGCATGCCGAAACCACGTGCTGGAAGTAAATCAAAAGGAAAATTTTTGGGGGAAGGTTGACTTTTCATATTTTGACTAGGGACCAACTTTTATCAGAATCTACGTAACTTCCAAGTAGCTGTACCATTTTTTCGGGGAAGCCAAAAGTGAAAATGGGCCCAGGAGGACCAAAATCACAAATTTTGATTTTTATCTTATTTAGGTCTTAAAGTTAAGTCATGTTTAAGAGATGTCTACCCTATATTTTTACTAGTTGTTACTTTCTAAATTTGATTGGTTTTGATGGATTGAAACTTTAAATTCCCATATCTCGTCCATTTTGAAACCAATTTGAACAAAACTTTCACCCCTACTTCCCATTTTCTATTATCTAACCTAGGTCATTAAAATTTTCCCTAAATTTTAACCCCTTCCGATGACCTTTGAAACCCTTCATGAGTTATTTCTGTATTCTATTCGAAGAAAATGTAATAATAGTAAATTATGTATCTTGAGTCGACTTCTACGACCCGATTATTGGACATATCAGCGCCGTTGTATTGGTGATGAGATGTGGCCCAGAATGCCACATATATCACACACATCATCATCATCATGCGATGGAATGCGTCGCGGTCGCGCTGGTACTCCACACACGTAGACACCGCACGCAACGCATACAACGCATCCGAGTGTGTTGTACGTCACACGGGGGGAAAATGGTTTACAATCTTCATAAAGCAGGCCATCGCTCGCGTTTCGGAATTTCATCCGTGTCAAAAGCTCGATGTTCTATGTTTAGTCATTGTGATCTATCGATTCGGGTTTTAATCTTTGTACGATGCCGGAATTAACGAATAAAGCACGTTGATAGATTGTCACAATATTTGCAACCGAATAAATTCAGGTCAGTTTGTAGCGGCGTTACAGGATTGCAACTTGCTAGACACAGGATTACATCGTTTGCTGTGTGTTTCCGCTCCCTCTCTGTATGTATGTGTGTGTGTTAATTAAATCGGCGGGTTTAAAGTTTTACGCCGTTTGATAGTCATCACCCTGAATAAACAAGGCTCCGGAGAAGATCCCCAAGGATAAGCAAGATATCCACGGCGTAATTACCGCCGAGTTTGCGATTGTTGTGTGCCCGGGTGGATCAAAAATGATAATTTAACCTTTGAAGTCCACTCAACACTCGCAGCAACGCAGCATCCAATCGCGGATGATGAAATTTCCAGCCGCGTTGCAATATATTCAACAAAATGCAATTTTCTCTCCTCATGTGCATCGACTAAATCAATAACAATAAAATGCATCGGTGGTAACCGATTAAAATCGAATATAAATTGCATTTGCCGTGGAATATTTACAAACTTTAAATTTTATTTTAGATTTTTGCGAAAATATTTATTTTACTTACTGCGATGTGCTTTATCCGACGGATCTCGTCGAAGGACAACCCTTCGTTGTGCTGCGGCTGGGCCAGTTCCGGAATCGACGTCGTGGATTACAATTCGGATTGCTTCGGCGTCTACGGACGCCTGACGTCTTGGTGGTGCTGCTTCGAGGTCTTCGAGTGCCGGGGCAGGTCGTGGGGGTACCACATTTCGAAGGCCGCCAATATCTGGTCTGAAAATAACAAAAAACAAGGTTTTGCAATTGTGAATTGGATCATCTATCATAATTTATTAAAATTAAATTATAAGGCTTTTAATCTATTAGGGTTTGAGTCGGGGACCATTTTGGAATTTAATAAAGATATCATAATTTACGTTTGGGGTAAGAAAAACTGTTTTAAGGTTAATATACAGGGTAAAACAAAGATTTCTATACAAATTTTAAAAAATTATACTTAAAATAGTGAATTTTGAACACCCTGTATGATATTTTAGTGTCCCAACACTTTCAACCTTCTACAAATCGTTTCACTTCAAATGTTTTCCGCTACATTTACGCGGAGCTCACTTTTTCATTTGCAATATTCGACCGACAACCCGGAAGTTGCTACGACTGCTACGAGTTGATCGTAAATCATGTTATACTGGACCAAGCGACTCATAAAAAAGCAAATAAAGTTTAGCAAGTTCAAGATGACCAAAATATTACATGGTACTTTCCAAAATAACAAAAAAGTTTAAATATATTATGAACCACATTATGGTATTACTTTCAATAACTGTATTACGCTCCTCTAATATCCATTTGTAGATGAAATAGGTATAAAGTTTGCCTTCGGCAAATTGGTAACCGTCTGAATACCACAAGATTTGATTGAAATTGACTAATAAAATATTCGTTGCAATTTCAATTCAATCCAATTCGGAAGTTAATATTTAAGATGGCGTACGTGGAGTTGCCTAAGTTAACCTAGTTTACGTCTATAACCTAATTGTGAATATTTTTTGCTTTTGAGTTACGAAATAAAAAAATGAAAAGAAATATATTTTCCGACGAAGCCAAAGCTAACACCTACTTTCTTTTCATTTCCGTTTTGCTATGGAGCTGTAATGATTATCCCCATTTCGAAAATGTGAAGCATGAGAAAAAGGCGTAGCGAGAAAATACGAATGTATGATGTATTGTTAAAGACGCCAAAGAGCCTTGAGGCAGCACGGATTTCATACCTCGAGAGCTCGCAAAATCGCGGATATAAAAACAAATGATGCACACGTTTACAAGACCTTTTGTGCCTATTGTGCACCGTACACCTGAATAATACAAGAAAATGGTCGACATCAGCTAGGTACTGATTCGTATACTCAACTCCTTCACAAGCGTTAAACATTCATAAAGTCAACAAGCATTTTGGTTATTTTGGTTATTTTGGTTATTTTGGTTAGTTTCCCGCGCATAACCTAAAAGTTTAACCTGAAAATTTGCAAATTGTGAAAATGTGTAGTACTAGTGTTGTTTTGATGAAGTTGTAAGCTGGTTTAGTTTATAAAACACTCGTTATAGCATAATGATTGAGTTAAAATAAAGCCGGGCTTATGCAGACAGCATGCAGCCCTTTGGCAGGCGATGGCGAAACGTAAACGTACACGCGACCGACCGGGAGACGTGAACGATCGATAAGTCTAGCCGTGCAGCAACGAACGGCTCTTTTAAAACCGATCCGAAGAAAACAAATACAGCTGGAAACGAACGACACAAGCTGGAACCAATTCGCTTTTCCCTTTTATCTCCACGCATCCCCCAACTCCTTTTTTTCTCTCGTGCAACGCGTTTATATCTTGTTCGACATTTATTTTTTTCGCTACATCCTTTCACGTCCTTTGTAAAATACACGTTGGTTTTTTTCCTCGCTACACCTTGACCTTTTTTGACAACTCAATAATGGGATTTTTGGAAAATATTTAAAACCACTTACAATTGTGATCCTCGTCGGCTGTTCCGTCTCTCCTTGTTCTCGGGGATGATTAGTGCTGGACCGGTGTCAGGACTAGGCGGGCTGGGTGGATCCGTCGCACGAAACGAAGCACGCCTACCAGTGTTAGGGGTGGCTACGGTGCTTAAGCCCGGTACGGTGAAGACATCGTAAGCGGAAGCTCGACGAGGCATAGGCGCTGGTAAACCTAACCCTAGTTCATTAGCAGGTGCCCCGCCTGCTTTATTCACTTCTTCGTCATAACTATGTTGACGGCCTATGCGGCTACCACGGCGGGATCGTGCGGGTGTGACTGCTTCTCTAGGGGGTTGGTCACGGGGTGGACTATTTGCGCGGCTTGCACCGCCACTCCTACCACCACGTTTCGCCCATTCAGACTCGGATGGTTTTTGACCTTTTAGCTAAACAAATTAAAACAAAAACAAAAAACAAGATTTAAGTTAAGTAAGTTTTTTTTGTAGCTTTTTGCTTGTTAAAGTTGAATGAGTCTTTATGTACCTTTTCAAGTTCTTTCAGCGACGCCGGTGATACATCCGAGTGTCGCCGTAACTCGGGACTCCTTGGCGGTGCTAATCCACTTCCGACGCCCGGCGTTAATCCGCCTGACGATCCCAAACGAATGTCCGAATGTCGCCGCTGAATCTCCTGCGTGGGTATCTCGAGCAGACTCTCGGATGAATCCTGCTGCATGGCTGCTCTTGATTGAATTTTTCTGATTTACACACAACAGTGTTAGGTCAGCGTACGTATGCAGCGTATAAATAATTTATTACCTTCGGCACACACTGCATGTCCATCGCGATGAGGTGTCGTCCTCGGTGTTCATGCTATACGAAGCGCAATCGTCGCACACCTTGTTGGCACATTCCGCGCACGTGCGGCTAAAGTCATCTGGCTTTATCGCCTTCAGACATACCCGACACCCGCCGGGACGTTTGCCTGACTCGGTTTTCGGTTGAATTGGTAGCGAATTCGGAGGTGGAGGTTTCTCCTCCGCTGGTGTCGGTGTGCTTTCCACGTCGGGGACAATCGATGGTCTCGGTGACATTTTTGTTACTGCACCAAACACAATACAATAAATTACCGCGTGATGGGTTTAAGTTTCGGGAGTTCGAGACAAACCTTTGTCTTGTGCAGTCAATAAAGACGACGATAACGTCTGCTTCAGTTTGCCGAATGTCGTCCCACTTTCTGCTGTCTCTGCTGTGTTGCCCGGACCTGTGGTCTCCACCATCTTATAACAAGACATAAAAGGACGCTCTTATTAAGGTTAGGATTATGTACCTACACATTTTATTATCTCGAGCGTCATTCAAGTGTGAAGAAACGCTAAATATTCGCTGATTTGACGACAAAAGAAAGCAGAGCATAAACAATTTTAAGAACCCATTAAATAAATTTTGCCTGACACGTTGTGTTCGCATTTATTTAGCTTAATTACCAGTTTATTGCTGTTTATTACCCGTGAGTCACTCGCAAAGTACATGAAAATCAGGATTTATTGCTTTTTGAGACTAGCCAGCACATATTAATATATTTTTGCTGAAAAGGCAAAAGCGTTGAAAACGCTGATCGAAAATATTCGCCAGAGTAAAAAAGGTTTGCTCAATTTCCTCAATTTTCCGGAAAATATCGATGACTTTGTGGAAGTCGCAGCAGCTTGCTTTTTTGGACGCAAGACGATCGACAGAGATTAACTGCGTCAAATTAAGGAAATAGAGGGTTGAAATCCCGGTCGGATATCGCAAAATATCACAAGATATCACAGAATATCACATTTAATCCCGCAATATTAAAAATAAATCTGTACAAGTAAAAATACGACTTTCATTAAATAAATAGTTGAATAATTGGTTGCCTATCATAACAGTTCATGTGGGCGGAGCACTCGAATAATATTTCACGTATATTTGGTTATAACTTAACTAAATGTTGACTTTATCAATAAAAAACAACCCCTATTTGATCCCTGCGACACTGACAGCTAAATTTATGCAGTAATGACTAATTCCAAAGCAAAAAATGTCTGATACTCCACAAAACAAAATAATAAATCGTAAAAGTAATTGTAATCATGATAAAAAATAAGGCGAGTAGCATTCCAGCACCAAAAAAGCATGAATATTAAGTTGATATGAAAAACTGAAGTGTGGCACGCAAACGTGTTTGACTGCAGTCACTGTCTCAGGGCGTGTAATTGTCGATCAATAAAACAACAACAACAACAACAACAAAAACAAGCAAGTCAATTACTGAACATTAATAAATTTAATTAGTGAATTAAAAGCAACAAATTAAAATCTATAAATAACATGTAAAAATGCCCAGGGCGCGATAATTGCTGGACTTAATCAATGTTGAGCGACTTGAGCGTAAACTGAAATTGAATTGGTAGGCAACAAAACCACCTGTAACTGTGACGTCAAGCCAAGAAGAAATAAAAGTTCGCTTTCTGGATATACACGACTTTTTACATACATACATACACGTTTCCACACAAATTCTCCGAAGGGAGGTTTATTTTTCTTCGTTTCACATTGGTATAATGTTTAACCGTTCGCTATATATCTACATCTATACTAAGTAGCTGTAGAATGTGGGTATTTTGTTTGTTTTTCTAGTTATGTGTTTAGTTAGAAAGTTCTTACCTTCTTCATGAAGTGCATCACGTGCGAGGGCAACATCTTGTTCGAGTCGGTAACGACGTTCAACGGTCCGAATGAGAGCTGGGCATCAGGGGCGCTTCAATTTTTTATTGCGCACATTTGTGTGTTGGCTGCGTGCGTTGTCGTTTGATTGGGATCTTGGAAAACACGCATCTGAAACGAAACATGAGGAAAATAATTAATGATGCAAACAACACACACCACACGTGGAAAAACAAGTTAAAAATAAGACAACAAATATGTGGATTGAGGTTATGTTAGGTAAACTCACTTAAAATGGAGGAAATGAATGAAAATTTAATAAAATTAATTTATTATACTTTAATAATGCTTTAGAAGATTATTTTAGTTAAAATCATTAAAATTTAAAGATGTTTTTAGTTAATTGTTAATATTTGATGTTAAATTATTATTTTTGGTAATAAAATTAGTGTTTTGCGGCAATTTTAGGCCAATTGTTGCAATTTTAATGATAAAAAAAGAATATAAAACTAGCTATCAAATTATATAGATAAAAACAAAGTCACTACCGGAATTTACGAGATAATGCTAAATTTTTATGAAAATCACCAAACTTTCGCAATTTTGTCGGCCATTTCAAACAGTTCGAAAGCGATTTCCAAACTTCGATGGGATCCCAAAGATAAACTAACTTATGCACTATCTAATTACGAAAACAAAACCAAACCAACAATAGTTTGCATGATACAGCGTGTTTCACTAAACAAAATATCAAAATTTAAACACAAAACTTTTTAATTTTTATATTTTCCCTGAAATATAAGAAGAAGCTGTATCTACACCTCCCTCATTTATAATACTACCTTTTCCGCTACAGCCAGATTTAATAAAATGTGTTTTAATTAAGAAAATATGTTCGGTGCGCGTGGATTCGTTAATTAGAGCGAATTTGCGTATGCTCTTTAAATAAATTTATGAGCCGGAGGGATTTACCGAGAATTCAGCGAATAATTATCGTGGAAATAATGAACTCGGGAAATATAAAGTAGCACTAAAGAGAAGGCATAGAAATTGGTTGATTAACCACTCGCGCGCGCTAAACTATGTAGGTGGAAGCGCCGGGCAGCGCAATTTGTATCAAGTGACAGGATTATCAAGAAAGCTATAACGTAAATTACCCATACTTTTATTTTCTATTTTTTTTTTTGTCTTGAGATATTATACGTATGGAAATATAATACGAATGCAAATTAGAACCAAACATATGTTTATATAAATATATTACCTTAGGTTGTCGCATATTGTGGCGTTGAGTGAAGACGTGTCAGAACCATGCACAAACAAATATAAGGTCACCTCACACGTTCGCACGCACTGGGAGAGAAGGTCCCTCGCGATTTTTCAAACGGATGACAGGCGACTCCACAGGCACCCCACGCGCGCACATCGCCCCCGCGAGCGTCTTAATTGCATAATTTCGTCGCCAGCCACCTGATTGATTGACGCGTGGCCGCGTGATCCGCGCGCGGTACAAAATGCGTCGATCCGCGCGATGTGGCGAGATAATATATGCGGCCGTTCTTCACGCGCGGGGGGTGGTTCGGCGGCGGTAATCAACTGGTGGCAGTCGAGGGTCGCGCTGCGTTTCGATTTGAGTCAGTCGGTCGGTCGGTGCGAGGACGAGGACGACACGCACATCGAAACCACCCGGAGCGAGACCCGGCCCGGACGAGGCGAGACTCCGGTGTAACAAGTAGGTACGACGGTCCGGGCAAATGCGTGCGCATGATTCGCCCGCCGCTGCCGCCGCCGCCACCGCTGCCGCTGACGCCGTTGCTGGCTGTACCGTCACATCCCTCTTATCAGCGGAGCGGCGTGTGCACACGCTATGACCCCCTCTCTGCCCCCGCCATTGCCATCTCGTCAATGAGCCGCGGCACGTCGCACCAATTCGCGTTGATTCATCGCCATCGCCGACCTGCTTCACGCGCGCCTGTTTTGCGTAATGAAGTCATGAGAAAAATAAATTGAGGCCGGCGAGCAACTTGCGATAGTTTTGTTTGCGCTTGTTTTGCCATCAACTTGATTTTATTGATTTTGCATGATAACTTTACGACCGCATTTTCCATTTCAATAACGCGTAGAAACGTACGCGTAGATGGTTTGGGTATATATTTCAGCCGACATTGTGAGAGTTATGTGCGGAGCGCGCTGCCAGCTTGTCTGTATTTTCCGCTTCGAGCGTATTTACCTGTTATCTGTTTGAACTTTTCGTCTTTTCCACCCTCCATATCCTTATTAAGGTCAGGCGTTTGATCATTTTCCATACAAAGCCGTTTCGATCACTGAATTTTATTCGGTTTTTAATATTTTCAGATTGTTGGCATAAAATAACTGAATTATTACTTTACTCTATAACTCGGCTTTGTCTAATCTAAAAGGGAAAATGTTTTTATCTCAAACGCAATGTTTAGTATTAAATTTTTGTGTTTTCTTTGCGTTTCCCGTGAATGAAGCGATCGATAAATATCTCCGCGTTTAGCACGTCTTAAGTGCGGCGAAGATGCTTATAAATAAAACATTACCGATAAAAGTATACTCAAATTTTCATAAATTAACTTTTTCCAACAAAAAACTTCTTTTATTTATAATTAACTCATTTAATTATTATTGAATCAGTGTCATTTGCAAAAATTACTAAACCAACAAAATAATTAATTCAACGCACGTAAAAGTAATTTAAATGGCTTTATTTGTTTGTGTTAATAACATAAAACACGCAAAAAACGCTTCGAGCTCTGAATAATTCAAGTTTTAATTCGTAACTATTCGAATCTCATGCGTAACGTTAACGTGAGCGCACGACGCATAACGAGTTTGCACGAACCGTAGTTCTGTGTTTTGACAACTGACAACAGTGAAATTTCCTAGTCAAAAACAAAATGGTTGTTTCTCGTTTCACAGTCAATTGTCAAAAGTTCACAATGAAACTTTACGTTTAACTGCGACGAGAAATCGATACACTGGAAATTAACTCCGAATAAACACCACTCATCATTATACCATCGCCTTTTTGCATATATTCCTTTTTATTTGGAATGTACATTCACGAGCAGCGTTAGTGGGAAGCACTTAGCCTAAATAAAATGATTGTACAGGAACCAGTTCAGGTTTGTTGATAATCACACTGCACTAGCTTCCTCTTACATTCTTGTTGGCGTTCATAGTTCATAAACTATTTTTTCTTCAATTTTAGGCTGCTATTTGGCATTGTTTAAATCAATATGATTTTGAAGATGCTATATTTTTATCAGAGAGATTGTATGCTGAAGGTATTTATTAACATAAATGAAATTATAATAATGGTGATGTGTACTAAGTGTATGGTGGCATTTTAGTGAAAACAGATGACAGTTTATTTCTGTTGGCTACAGCATACTATCGGAATGGTCAAATTGATCATGCCTATCATATACTAAAGGATAGAGTTGGTGCTTCTACACAATGCAGGTTTTTATTAGGAAATTGTGCTTATCAAATGCAAAAGTAAGTGTAATGTTTCTTTTGGTTTGGTAATTCAATCAATAAACATGATTATTATGAATTCCATATTATAGATATGCAGAAGCAGAAAATGCAATAATGGATAACTATTCAAAAAGCATTGATGACCTTATACTAGATTTTGATGAGCAGGCTGCATTTGCTGTTTTGTTATTGGCGAAAATTGCGGACAAAACTGGGCGTAAGCAGAGCGCCATCGAGATGTACAGTCGGGCGCTCAAACTAAATCCATTTCTGTGGTCTTCCTTTGAGAGCCTTTGTAAGCTGGGTGAGGCACCAAATCCAAATGTGTACTTCCAACTGCAGGATATGGAGAATCTCTCCCAATGCCAGGGTTCAAATCAGTGTAATATAGAAAACTTGGTGATTGCCAACAATCTCCCAAACGGCGATAGCGCGTACATCACAACGCCGCAGCAGATATTGAATATTACGGCGGGGAATCTCAATGCAAAAGTGGGCACACCGGAAGACAGTCCGCTCGCGAATCCGCTCTGCATGTCTGGGGTGAGTCTATTGCCCCCTACGCGGAAAAAAACTTTGAGATTACGATCAATTGAGACATATAATGTAAGTCGATTAAATTTTATTGAAATCAGTAAATAATGATGTAATATTTCCAGTCTAGTCCATCAACGCCATCATTCGGTTGTATATTAGAGCGCTCCGACGATCACATGACTCCAAACACACCACCTACTAATCCGGAGAATAACGAGCCTAAATCCTTCCTCATCAAGAGCCGCATGCAGATGAGCCAGTGGGGGAATCGCAAAGAATCGGTGCTATTGAACAATAAACCAGTGTTCAGTCAAACGAGCAACGTGAACAATACGAACGCAGTTAGACCTAGCACACCGGCAGTCACAACCGGTCAAAACGTTCGCCGCAGTTCGCGTCTCTTCAGTAGTAATAACTATTCCGTGAAAGAGAACAACAAGTCGCCGAATTGCACCAAGTTCGTCACGCCGAAATCGCCGAGTCGCAAAACGAAGCAGCGCCTTGCCAAATGCAGCCTCAACGAGTTCAATTACATGGAGCTCAACACGCGTAACCTGAAGAGCCTCAAGAAAGATATTCCTGAGACCGTCACGTCGACTGACACAACCAAATCAAACACGAGTGCAATCATCACAAACAATTGCGCCAATAACTCGCAGTTATTGTCTCTGTTACAGCTGCAGAAACAAAGCACCGAGGGATTAATGTGTTTGCTACGCGATCTCGGCCAAGCATGCCTGTATCTATCTCAATATCTTAGTAAAAAGGCCATTGAAGAGCTCAATCAACTGCCAAGCCATCAGTTTGAAACGTCGTGGGTGTACTGCAAGCTGGGTCTTGCGTACTTTGAACTAAACGATTACGAAAACTGCGTGAAATACTTCGGCGAGGTGCACAATAGAGAACCCTATCGATTAAAGTACATGGATATATATTCCACTGCATTGTGGCACCTGCAAAAAGAGGTGACACTCTCCGCCTTAGCGCAGGACCTCATCCAAGTCAACAAGCACTCGCCGATCACGTGGATCGTGAGCGGTAATTGTTTCTCGCTGCACAAGGAGCACGACACGGCGATCAAGTTCCTTCACCGCGCTGTGCAGGTTGATGCCAGCCATCCCTATTCGTACACGATACTAGGTCACGAATATATCATGACCGAAGAGCTGGACAAGGCGATGAATTGCTATCGTAACGCGATACGGCTCGATCCACGACACTACAACGCCTGGTTCGGCATTGGGACCATCTACTCGAAACAGGAACGCTTCCATTCGGCGGAAATTAATTATAATAGAGCGCTGTCGATAAATCCGCACAGTTCAGTAATCCTATGTCATATTGGTGTGGTGCAGCAGGCTCTGAAGAAAACCGACAAAGCTCTCAGCACACTCAACACGGCGATCGCCAACGATCCCAAAAACGCACTGTGTAAATTCCACCGCGGGTCGATATACTTCAATGTCGGCCGGCATGCGGAAGCGCTGAAGGAATTGGAAGAACTGAAAGAGATTGTGCCGAAGGAGTCGCTCGTCTACTACCTCATCGGCAAGGTACACAAGAAATTAGGCAATATTGATTTAGCATTGATGCACTTCAGCTGGGCCACAGATCTTGATCCAAAAGGTGCGAGTAGTCAGATCAAGGAAGCATTTGATCCTTCCATCGGACGCGTCACCGAGATGGACCAGCCCGGTACGCCGACCATCGACGATCAGCCCACTGATAATGTAGCTATTTATCAAGTGTTTGATAGATCGCTTGACGACAGCGATGATAGTCTTTAATATTATTATACAAACAAACATACAAAACAATTACTGGAAGTCTCGACAAGTCGACAGCATTCACATATTTAGGACTCGCTACGATAAAAAAAGACTTTTGTTTCATTTTGATGCTGTGTTACTTTTAACTTTAAATAATTATTTCTATACAAAGGTTTTATTTTTTTTACATCGAAGAGAGAGAGCCCGATCGGTTGCTGGTGCCGCCATTTTCAATGCTGTAAGTAATTTATTCGTAACAAACGAGAAATCGGCGAGAGTGATAAATAGACACTTATTATGTACAAATCGAGCGTGTTTGTCGAATAAAATTATTTTACTCATTTAATCTTATCATAGACTAAACGGTTCATCATTTTCAGTGCTGATTTTCAATCATTATTTTGATCAAAAATTTAGTTTTTTTAAGCTGATGGTAATAACTCAATAAAATTATGTTTTGAAAAATAAAACATTTATTTTTAAATTTACACTATAATACAGTACACGATAATTTATATAGGTTGTAACAATTAGAATGGATTCGTCGGCTAGACACTAAATATTTACACACAAAAAAAAAAAAACAATTACAATACGCATCGATTCATCACATTAATGTTATTCTTGACTCTTTTGGTTTTCGTTGCTTTATGATACACATATTATCGTACGGCGACGCCATTGATTGTGACGACGTTACCATTCCTACCGATTGGTTCCGGTTCGTACGTACCACTATCTCTGCTGGTTTCTTCATAGGGAGCATCGTACATGTTCTCATCGTGAATGTTTTCGTAGATATTCGTTCCTGCGAGGTGCATTGGGTAGCCATTACGGTCACTGAGTGTGGCATAACTCATTACGGCTGCGTTACGGTCTTCTTTTCTCTCGGCAGCTTCGACATTTTCGGTGTTTTTCACTGGTGTTGCTTTACGCCTACAAATTTGTACGAATTAGATTATATTTTGTATTAATATGAACTGAATACTTACAATTTTAAATAGATTAATCCTAATAATATCAGTAGGAACAAAACGACGCCGGCACCGATACCAATACTCGTCCCCAAGTTAGAAGAATCTTGCGGTTCTCCTGTAGCAACTTCACAACGTGGATCATCACCCGACCAGTCGCCGTTTTCCATGCATTTACGTAGATATGGTCCAATACGTTCGAATTTTGGTACGCAGTGATATTCAACTGCGCTATTATACGTGGTACCATTCATGACAATCACGCGGCCATTTTGAATTGATCCGGGATGTTTGCAATCAACCGCTGAAAGTGATTGAAAGTAATTTGTTATTATGCAGAAATGCACTTTGAATGGTATTTAGACTTACCTGTGCACGTGGGTGCTTTGCCGCTCCATGTCCCGCGCTCTAAGCAAGTGCGTGTTTCGTTACCATGCATATGGTGACCTCTGGGGCATGCGTATTGCGCAATACCGCCAACACTATGCGTGCTTACTTTGAACGACACTCCTTCAAATGAGTCTGGATCTTTGCATTGTATTTCTATAAAAATACAACAATTTACATCCAAGTAAAGTAAAGTTTTATAGTTAGGCATACCTCTGCACACAGGTAGGTCAGAACTCCAGGTGCCATTTTCTAAACAGAGGCGTCTTGACACTCCGTCTAATTCATAATTGGCATCACATGCATACAATGCCAATGCTCCGTAATAAGTTGCATTTGATGCTAAGGTGACTTTTCCGTAGTTTAGTTTTCCTGGTGTTCCACAATCCACATCTTGAAAGTTGTTTTAGTTTAGAAATAGATTATTTAAAGATATTTTGCTGTAATAACTTACAAATACATTCTGGTACCTCTCCACTCCATTTACCAGTATCTTCACATGTGCTCAGAGGTTCACCAATAACTTTGTAACCTCTCTCACAGCGATATTTGACCAATGCTCCGATTTTGTAAGATGTGGCACCTGAATTACTCGAATCTGATTGCGAAGTGCGAATCAGCGTGCGGCCATACATACGGTCATTACCAGTGACTGAAAGAATACTGTGTTCTGCCAATATGGGCTCCGGACAGCGAATTTCTACAAAAAGTCACAAAACACTCAATCTTCAAAAAGTTATGATCTACTGGTTTAACACACTTTGTACGCTTACCAAATATAGCAAAACATGTGTTTTATGTATTTACCTTCACATTTAGGCGTGCTATCACTCCACTGCTTGTTTTCTTGACACGTTCTCTTTGGCACACCAATGAGTCTGTAATTCCGTACACAACTGTATGTAATCTCGCTGCCTAGGTATGCTGTTTTGTTGGTGTATTCCGTGTTTCCGTTTGGTAAAGTTGGCACTTTACCACAGTCAATATCTAAACAGAAAAAATGTATAACATTTGTACGATATGAACCTCTTGAATGTCCTTACATTCACATGTGGGTGTAGTACCCGACCATTCCCCATCATTCATACAAGTCCGAATCGCATGTCCTCGCAGCACGTGGCCGACTTCACAATGGTATTCGATGCTTGAATGTACGAAAAAGTCGTAACCCACAACATAGGATCCTGAAGGTACATCAGGTTCCTCGCATACAATCACTGTAACAAGTATTAATTACTTTGGAATCTATAATTAAATAAATCATAGTAACATTATTACATTCACAAGATGGCGCATCAGATGACCATTTGCCTTCTCGTGTACACCGCTGTCTCTTTTCTCCTTCAAGCCAGTAATCATCTTTGCAAGAATACTCGACGATACTATCAACTGTAGTACTTCCATTCGCAAGATTATAGTTTCCATTATCAATGTTTGGCGGTGATCCGCAATCGACGAATTTGCACGACGGTTGTTTACCGGACCATTCCCCACCTAATCCGCATGATAACACTGCTTGTCCAAAGAGAATATAACCCGATTGGCAGGTATAAGTTGCAGTGTCACCGGCGCGATGTCCCGAGAGTTTTACGATTCCTCCCTGGATCTCAGGCGCGTCCGGACACCAATCAAACAGACATTCCGGTGTTTTGTCACTCCAGAAACCCGCTTCACCGCAGGTGCGTTGTTCGCGTCCTATCAGTGTGTAGTTTTCGTGACATGTGTATGTTGCTACAGCCCCGAATGTTGTTCTGCGGTTCTTCAATGTAACTGTGCCATGCTCCAAGTCAGGTAGACCACCACAATCAACGTCTATAGAATTAAATCAATATTAATAAACATTTAACATAATAATATTTATTGTTAATACTTACATTTGCAGGTAGGTGCAGCTCCAGACCAAAAACCTTCTGTTGTGCATGTACGATTACTGGATCCTATCAACTTTTGTCCTTCAGGGCATTGGTACTGAATTGAGCCACCGACATTGAAATTCTTGCCGGTGATCGTGGTATTCAGTTGTTTGTCGGGGCTTCCGCACGATGAAGGATCTGTAAATGGTGGGATTAAAATGAAAAATACTTAAACTGATCACGAAGTACTTAAATATTGACTTGAAGCAATGATATTAAAATTATTCTCATACGGCACGCATTTTTCAAGGTTTTGAGAAGAATTATAATAAACTTATTCATCTGTTTCGCGCAATTACTAGTGTAATTGTTAATGAGATTATAAAACAATTGTAAAAAGAAGTACAATGAAATCGTGATGAAACCAGTGCCACTAGGTATAAATCAAGTAAATATTATTCAATAGAAATATCTTCTTTGGTATTTATAAGATTTTACGCAAATTATTGTTTATTGTTTATTGTTAGTATCGATAGATAATTCTCACGGGCGAGAATAACAACAAACCTATATTAATCAGGTGTTGTTTGTCATTTTAGTTATTTCTTGTATTTTGATTTATTTCTAATTCAATTAATATTATTTGTTTGTAATTAAACTAAACTATATTATATTCTACGCATGAAACACTTAAAATAGGAAGAAAGCAATTCCATTATTTAAAATAATAGAAACACTTATGACTTACATTATGCATTTTCCTTATACAGTTAAACAGTTAGTTAAAGTAATTATACCTCCACGTAGACGAATTTAAATGCCACGAGAGATTAAAAATTAAGATTGCTAAAAGATTAATATTTAAGTGGGCAGCAGTAATTTTCTACAAGACGAAATTATTAGTTTCAATGCGAATAATGCGATTATCAATTTATAATACTTGCAAAAATATACAAAGACAAAAACAATGCGAATATAATGAGCTCAATTTTGTCCGGATTCAATGTCTCAATATGCAAACTTTAATTCAAATCTAATTATCTCTCTAGTACTATTTTGCAAGAAACAACAACGCAATATTTAATGATCGAAATTTTGACACTAAAACTAATTACAAAATGATCTATAAGTTCAATTTAAATTAATAATAATTCAACAAGTGTTTCAAGTATTTATATATTGTTGACACAAAAACCTCGTCATCTTTTCGGTCTGTACATGCATCGAAATAACGTAGGAGTGAAAGTAAGAAGTTAAACTTGATGAACTTTAAAGAATCGAACCGAGAGTTGCATGAACATGAACACAACATGTTCAAAAAATGACTAAAACACCTTGCATTACACACCATTTGTGCGTTTGCCTATGTTTATGAACGCTGAATATTAACGAATGTTTCTAATGCCGGCTGGAAACGAAATTGAAATGTAAATGTGCGCCGGTGAATATTAAACTGATTTTAATCATGTCTTGTCTTGACGTGAGCATTTACCTTCACCGCAAAGTTTCACGGTAGTGTTCAAGCGCATATTAAATACAACACGTATTTAAAAGCGAAACAAAAGCGGTGTTTTGTTACAAACCCGTTTTGGGATTATATAATCTCAAGAAACGCCTACAATTGTTTATTTTTATTAAATAATAGGTATTATTTCATTATTTTTCATTATTTTAGGGTAGGCAACCCAATATACGATTGCCTATATATCAAATGCGTTTATTTTTGGTTAAATTTGCTTGCAATATCAAATTTTATGTAAATTTGAATTTAATGTTTTATAGGTGGAAGAATCCATGACACATTACAATTTATTACAATTTCCGATATGGTCTTCGGTCGGAATAGTGAAGTGAACGCTTGAAAATTCGAAACTGTCTATGAAACACGCGATTTAACTTTCTAACTTAACTTAAACCAGATTTCTACAGCGCAGTTGCATCGCCACACGATTAATCGAATGGTGACCGCCTCACACAATAGCAAACTTTATATATACGAGTACAATATTTAACCGTTGGAGTGAATACGAAAGGCAAACGCGCAAACAAGCATTACTAAAACGATAATAAGGGACGTAATCACTTTACGACTTCATTAAACATTGTCATTTCTTCGTCGCGGTTTCTTATACTCGTCCATGTGTAACGGTCACGCGATTTACTCTACGTTTTGCTAAATCATCACAACATTTTCTACGATTTTATACTTTACAGGAAATAGTAAATAAAATAGTGACCATCACATAACTCCATTATTCTCTATTATCTTTTCACATTTCGCATAATTTTACTTACGTATAACTTACGTAGCGTAGATTTGTGATTAGTAAATAATTCTTGGTCATATTTCAAGTGTGTGTCCTTTAACAAAAACGAAGAAACTTGTTTCGAATCGTCGTTAACGCAAACCAACGAATTGTAATTTATAATTGTCATAATCGTGGTCATAATAGTAACAATTAAGCGTAATTATATCATTACATTTGTGTGTGTTTAGTGCACGCATACTTATTTTAGTCACTCGCATTATTTATCGCTTGAGCAATAATAAAAACGAAGCAATTATTAAATAATCACCGCATAACATCTTCCATTGCGTCGATTGTTTGTTTGCAGGTACATACACGTGCGAATATGTGTACAATATGTTGCCACCGTTGTTGTTGCGACAAGTGCAATACGTGTATGTGCGTATGCATCGTTTACGAACGTTTACAATCGTTAAAGATGGCCGCCGGCCGCCAATGGCGGTGTAATTGTTTCCATTAAAGCGTTACATTTTAATTTGATACGAATACTAGTTTACGAATTAACGAGTGCGAGTTATGCAATGTTTGCGGCAGAAATGCACGTACGCGGTGTGTACACACATTGTGTGAGGTTGCAAGTGCGGATGCGAAACAATTCATCAATTAATTACAATTCTCGCGGTGAACAATATGCTACTTACGTGTACGTCGACGTGAATGTCGATAAAAAGCAGATTTTTCTTGTTAATTTGTGATGGAGTGGCATGGTTAACGAGAAAATGAGGTTTGGTTATGTAAAATAAAAATTCCTTATAGGACTTTATTATTACGCAAAAATTAATTTAAAATTAATATTTTACGATGAATAGTGTTCGCATTTAATTAGAAAACCTTTTCCAGAGAAAAATCAAGTTATAAACTTTTATTTTGCTAAAATTAATTAAAATTGATTTATATTTCGAGTTTAAACGTAATATTTTAAATGCGACTGCAAGTTTGTTTGTTTGTGCCACTTTTACGCAAAAACGACTAAACGAATTTTGATAAATTTTGGTATAAAGATAGTTATGACGTTGGAAAAGCAAATAGGCTACTTTTTATTGCAAAATTATAACTTCAAGGGTAAAAAAATGAGGGATAAAAGTTTGTATAAAGATATCGCTGGCCAAAAATAAAATTTCACTTACTATGTTGGCAGATCCAATGTAAATAATCCAAATTACATCCAACATCGTTCCATAACCATCCACGTCCACCATCCAAAACGGCACAATTTTGTTCACCATTGTAATTATTAGGTTGATCCTTGCCCCATGCAGGACGAAGAACCATATCGCCTGTAAAATAACCATTCTTTAGCATACAACATATTATTTCATTCCAAACAATCAGAAAACAAGCAAATACACAGAAATACAACGTAAACGTGATTTATTCAAATGCCTATTTTCCAACTCTTGAAAACATCAATAAAACGCAACTTCAAGCGCACGAAATGCGCATTAAAATTTATATGAGAATTGAACAAAACGCATAGACCCACAGCGACCATTGTCTCGCATCTTAATCTTAAATTCATGTAAACTCATGATTTTTTCTTAATACTAGTGTCGGTTAGGTAAAATAGTGGTTGTAATTCTAGGTGAAGGTCTGCGGGTACTGATGCTGATGTTGTGCATGAACGCCTTGAGCGTCTGAACAATTTCCGAACAATTTACGAAAAATTCACACACGCTGCGTCGGATTCGGTATGATAATTTGACAATTATGCCATTTGCAATCCGCACAAAGCATAAACTCATGCAACGGTTCAAAAAAATTGCAGGGAAATAAATATCATTGAAATTTGCCGAAAAGTTGAAAACAAATTTAGGTGCAGCTATTAAGATAATTGTATGTTGTCTAACATTAAGTTTCACTCCTGCAGTGATGCCGAGAGTGCTAGGCTTGGTTTCTTCCTTGTACAAAACACGAAGGAAGAAACAAAACTTTAATCGGCGTTTCGACGCTTGTTAAATCTAGCTTAGAATCGTATTTTTTACGAATTTAAACTTTACGATGTTTGGGCAACATGCAATGGTTGAATTAGAAAAGAAATTTTGTTGATTCAAAGATTTTTGAACTTTTAAACTTACCATTAACCCATTTCCAAGTCCGTGATGTTAATCCCGGTTCTTTCTGCGCTCCGATCCACACGAGTTGTGTTTTTAACTTGGGCTTCCGGCGCTCTAATTCTGCATATAGAAAGGAAGTCTGGCCGGGATTCATGCCATGCACTAAATCGCCATTGTGACTCTTGCAATACGCTCGTGCTTCAGCAAAAGACCCGCCACGACCCACGCCGAATTCATAACACGTTCGTGAAAATGCAGCCAATTGTGCGTCCTCTGGTGCTGATCGAGGTGCACAACGATCAATTGAAAACTCTGAAAGAAAAAACAACAAACAGTGGTAATTAATTAGACACACATGAATAAATTTGCAAAAATTGCACACAAGTAACAAAAAACGTCAAGGTTAGGCGAAATTTCAGTTTGGAATTAAAACAAAGGTAACTCACATTAAGTAAGAGTAAAACAAACCGAAAGTTTGAGCAACGTTCGGTAACGAATTTATCGCGTTAATTAATTTCGTTTGCAAGTTTGCGTAATACTTTGGTAGGAATACCGAAACGAAAGGTATAAATGTTAATATCGCACTTTAGACATTTAATGCACGTCACGTTTTTGTACTTTTAGTTGTTTCTTCGGGTTGTTGTAAGATAAGTTGCAAAATCGGCTTTATTCAAACAGTTTGCATCCAATTATATTTGAATATTTTATTGAACAGAGTCAAAAGTTCAATAATATTCATTTATTATGTAATAAAATATCGTTTTAACAATTTAACCTATTTTACTTATAAATTATGGTTTAAATAAATGTAAAATTAGAAAATTTACTAAAATTGATGATTTTTTACTGAAATTTAATTTTTATTGTTTAAACGCTGCGGAAGACACATTTTAAAAGTGGATTCATGCAAGAGCGAATAAAACGCCATCGAGTTTTCAAATTGGACACGGTCTCGTAAGCCGAAAGCGAAGTTTACTCACAATGACTCACTTTACATTCATACCCGAGCATAAATAAACGAGTTACATTATATTTTTAATCGCGAACATATTGAGTTCTTCTTTCTGCCCGCCAAGGAAGACAACTTTTAAATTTTGCTTCATATTTCCGCTCTTCATTCAAGCTCTTTAAGCAAAAGAATATTCTGCGCTTGCATTTCTTCCTGTTCTCATTATTTGTATTTTCATCATGTTTTGTTTTTGACGAGAATATTTCTCCGCTCTTCTTGTTGAACAAAAACATCACTGAAGTAATTCCGGTTCTGTGCGAACGCGTGCGCGAAACATGACACAATGAGCGAGTTTGAGGAGTTGAAATATTAAACGAGTGCATGAGCAATACAATTAAACAAACAAGACATTTGTTTGCTAAGCTTTGTAATGTGTAATAAATGAGCGCAGCACAAGCCAAGAAACGCGAAACATAAAACAAGGCCGACGAGATTAATTTCTGTGATAAATCATACTTACATCTGATTTTAAGGTGGCAACTTTATAATTGTAACAAGTTGCAACAAATTGCAACAAATTTAACAAACATTTGCTTAGCAAACTCCAACGGGATATAAATTAGGTTAAAATTTTGACATTTGTGTTAATTTGGTTGCATATACTACTATAACTCACCATCGGTCGTAAAAACTTCCACTTCACACAAGGATAAAGATCCTTCGACGCCGACAAGTTGCAGGAACACATACTGCCCGACCAAGGAACGTGCACAGGTGAAGGTCTTCGTCACGCCTTCGTCTGCAAAGCAAAAACACACAACACAAATGAATATTCAGCGCTTCTAGCATAATCCACATAATATTTCACGCTACAATCGATTACGTGATCGTACGATCGCACGATTTATTGTTTCGCTTTTTATTTACCTATATCTCATTGAATATAATTACATAGTGGTTTTGATTATACACGCCTTGGCAAGACGAAATAAAAATAAAACGAAAAAACATTCAGGAAGTAAGTGAGACCTCGAGCAGAATAAAATTGCGATACAAATCCACGATTTGCAGTTCAATGAATTGTTCGGAATTGTTTATTCGAGCAGAAACGCCCGCAACGTGACCGCATAACGTCCATCACTCTTGAGATGAAGTTGATAGGCATTAAGAAGAAATAGATGACACTAGAATTTGATCTGTGTACTACTAGCATGGTTTTTTAACGGATTATAATGTAAAATAAGTAAATCCGTGTCAGATTCTCAATCAACACGAAGTTTTCTTGCGATTTCCGAATATGAGAAATTTCTAATTGTCAAAGTTAGCGGTCACGCTTTACGCCTGTGTAAAAAGCGTTAATCGATGATTATTGATTGGCGATTTGAAACGGGCACGCGCGACCAGGCGATGCAAATTTTACAGTTAACTCAACGGTTTTCATTTCACACTAATTTAAAAAGTTTTCAGCTACTTTATTCTACATTATTCATCAACAGATGCCGCTACTATAATTACAGCTATCATATACATATTATTGTCAACCAAGCAGATTTCTATTTTATGAATTAGTATGAAAGTAGTGCGACAGATGTCGTAGTTGTATTCAGAGCTACTCAAAACGATCGCATCACTTCCAGAGGCGGTAAAAACTGTTAACAATCTATCACTTCACTTAATGGCAATTGTCCGACATGCCAGCTTGCGGCTGACAGTGAAACACCGCCTTAGATGAAGAATGAAAACCAAAACAGCATGCAACTTCTGCTTCAGTTGCACCGTTTCTTTGTCGCCATTGGTATTGCACTCATTGAGCACACTCATTGCGAACATTCTGCGGCGTGTTGTGCAAACATAGCACACTTACCCACATCCGTGTGTTATTAAAACATCATGTCGTCGCATCGCACTCGAGTGAACTGCATTTTATTGTGCATCGTGCGTGTTCCTACACATTCATCACTTCGGGACATTTATTGTGGCAACAATGTGTTGCAAAAAATGTAAATTAACTTAGTGCATTCTTTGGATCTGTTGAGGTGAACAATTGCCAAGAACAAAAATGCCGTTAATTACTACATTCATTGGTGTCAATAGGATTGCAAGCTAACCTAACCTAAGTGGAAGTCTACCCACACAAAGAAAGCATGCTGACCTAGTTGTAAATACTTTTAACTTAACATTTCTTATCAATTTCACTTTATGTCACTCTTAATCACTAAAATAAATTTACCTATTGTCCCCGGAAACCAAGCACATAACGGATTTCGTTGTAAATCACTACTGCTATTTCCAACCCGAATTTCAAGATCTTGAAGTGGTTGATGTCCGCAGCATCCTCTAGTTGTCACCCGAACAACTTTAATAGGATATGGACGTAGTAAATCCACATGCCACCAAGGGCTGACTTCCTTTTGTGTTTCTGTGCATCGTTTTCCATCGTGTTCAGTGCTTTTTTCGCCGTCATTCGCGTTTAAAGCGTTGCCACCGCGAACACTTGTTGATTGATTCGCTGGTTTACGGTAGGCTATGTTAGTGCCACAAAATGGCAGCTCTCCGACCCATTTTCCTTTCGTTGAGCAGGATAACTCTGTGTTCCCGAAGGTTTCATAACCGTCATCGCATTGGTACGTAGCGATTGTTCCGGCTTTGAGTTGTTCGGAACTTAGGGAGACTTTGGCGTTGGCGGGTACTGCAGGATGACCACAGTGGATTTCTGAAAAATAGATCAAAATTGAGGTTAGAATTCAATACCTAAATTTATATTTAACTCAACTATTGATATCTTACTAAATATTTACTTTTAGTTTACAAATGATTACAATACAAACGTAAAACATGAAGTAACTGTCATAAATTAATTCATTTCACGCCAACGTTGCTACATTGAAGCGTTTAAACGTTTTACAAGTTCAACAATAGTGTATCGACAAATCACTCTTGTAATACCAATTGATATCACTACATATTCTAAACGTAGTGTTCTGATTTCGTTATTTTTGTCCGTTTTGACGCCATGTCACAGTTTGCACAACGGTTTTTGTCGTTTTCGTCCTCACGTGCGTCAACTCGCAATCGTGTTAGCTACGCCTTTTGCTTTATTAACGGTTTTATACCAGTACCACGTTTAAGCTAAACTCAACTAAATATTACTAGAATATCCATAATAAGTAAATTTAACACTGACGCTTCGAGCGTGACAATGTCTCTGACGTGCAATAACCAATCAACGCGAAAAACTTTCGAATCGACGTTTTGTCTTAGAACAGTAGGTACGTGTCATTGGAAACTATATAGCACTAAATAACACTGGTTTCTAAAATGAAGGAATTTGAACTGGACTTGTGAAAAAGTGACTATTTGGATATTCAGCTGTCGATGGATACAATTTAAAGCAAACATATGCCATGCGTTAATTTGGCGGATGAAATAATTACGTTATTTGTGGATAAAAATGCTAATTACATTTCTAACTAAATTAACGGCGGTTTTATTCCGTAGATTTTAAATGTTTGAAAGTTACATGACTGATATCCTGGTGTAGGTTGTAATTTGTTATTCTTTAAACAAGTCCATTTATAAATCACTTAGTTCAGCTGTAGATTATATAAATCTAACTGTCACAAACAAGTCACATGTAAGAAATAATATCACAGGAATTCTTAGAAAAGTGCAGTTGAAACAACTTTGATTCTTGTAGTTTTTTTTCACGCTGCCAAACACGTGATGACAATGCAAATAACAAAAAATGCGCTTTATATTTACATCCACCTACAATGCCTTTTTCTTTTTATAGAAGTATTATTTATCTATCAACGGCACAAATCTTTTAATACAGCTGTTTGTGTGCCCATCATTTTTGTAAACCACCGTTGTTTGTATCATTTTAACTGCATCAAATAAACAACATTGTAAACATGTTCACACACAAGAGGCACCAGGTTTAGAGTAACAAATTGTGCGGATAATGCATCTTAATGTCAGCAATGCAAGAAGAAGACGACGCACTGAAGAAGACTTTGTGGAAAATGTTATAAAGTTGTTAGTGAGATCCAAGATGTGAAACCACACGTATAGCGGTGCTTCTGCTTGATTTCTTGCGTAGAATAAATTACAAATATCTTGATAACACACGTGATGCATAATAAGGTCAATTCAATACAAATTATATTGAACTAATGCTTTTTTTTTATGTATCAACAAGAAAAGTATATTTTTTGATCAAAAATAAATGAGAAAACAAAAATTTAACTTTTTTTTTTTCAATTATTTTCTAAATTATTAAAGTTTTCTGCATAATAAACGAGAAATAAAACGGAAAAGTTATTTATTTACTTTTCTGTGCATTTTCTGTAAACGTCAGGAAGCAAAATTAACATTGATCTAAGCATTCAAAAGCTGCCGGTAATAATTATTCGAATTCATTGCCACATCAATCACGCCCATGCTGGTGCAGGTGCCGGCGCAGGGGGCTATTACCCACTGCAGCAACTAATAAGGACGATTAACTAATTGCGCCTCATTAAAATTCCGCGATGCGTTTGCCTTATATTTCGCATTCGCGGCGATACAAACTGTAGATACAAACTTGTTCGCTTCCATTTTCATACACCGAAGCAGCGTCCGCGGCAGAAGCGCCGGAACGCAAATATAGAGGTTGCTCAAATTGCACATGCATAATTATAAAAGTGAAAGTACAACCGTGTTGTGGTTATTTTTTATTGTCTGCACACCGTAATAAAAACATTCGTTTTTATCGACGCGTGTTTTCAAATTAATTTGAATTTACATTTTTGAATACGCGTGTTTGACACCAAAATGATTCAAGTATTGCTTAAGTATTATTTCTAAATATCAGATGAAGATATTTTAATATTAGCTAAAACATATTTAATAGCAGAATTAGTTATTAAAGTGGTTTTTAGTTAAATTTTGAAGTAAAATTTTGAAAAATGAGCAAAATCATGTTTTAAGCTTCGCCCAAGTGGTTACAACTTCAAAATTGCACTATTTACATAAAATCTATCAAAATTGTGTAAATGAATAAGGTTCAATCATGTTTAAATGCTAAAAACTAACGTAATCATTTTTCTTCTTCAGTTTAACTTATATTTTACGAGTATTTTAGTAAATGTGATACTTTTTAATCTTTTAGAATGTATAGCAGCCATTGCAAATCGAAATCAGCAATATTTAGTTTTTACTTTTGCTTCTTTTGCTATTACGCCACGAGCAATGCGTTTTTACAACATTACGATTTCCCGTTGTCATGTCTTTCACTTAGATTAACTCTACTTTAAACCGCGTAAAACATAAAGTCGTAAGTTCTAATTTTTTGCTGTCTACATTCAGATCAAACCAACTAAACAAACATTTCTTCATCATTTTTCTAAAATAACATTTATCTTTGTGAGAAAATCATTACTCACAAAAATATTATTTTATCAAGATAGAATTACATAATACAAGACTTAATTCAACAACGTTCCATATTTGTATTAAATCAAAGTAACCAACAGTTGCTCTACGTCCTAATTAATATTCTTGTCTTTGCATTTTAAATGTGTACATGACGTGATTGTGTAATTTTCATCGATATGCCACTAATTTGACTTGGCGTCTCGATAACTGTCGCTTCATTGCTTGCTTATCCCGTTAGATTGTTAGCATCGCCGGCAATATGTGCGCATGTGCGAACGTATTCCTGACGTGAATAATCCTCACCGGCTTAACTAACGACGAGACGATGCTGAAACGCGACCGTGAACTCCGGTCGCGGGATTTTTCTTCGCGTCCAAGTCGCGTCGACGATTTCTGTGTCAGTAGTTTATACGGACGCGGAGACACGGCTTTATTTTCGTTTATTTTCTTATTTAAGTTAATTAAGAGGAAATATATGCAGAAAATTTACCATAAGCTCCGCCCACTTGGAAATAACCTCCAAAGTGTACATTTGATAGTATAAACATGGAAATTTGAGGTTAAACTAAAAATTTTTGCTTTTAAATCAAGAAAATGTTATTAAAACCTTCAAGTTACATCAATTAAGAAAGTAATAGTAAAATTATTCAATTAAACTGTAGATAAATGCAAAACATGAAACCTTTACACTTCTACAAATCGCATTTTAATAACAAACCATCTTCTCATAGATATAGGTAATCATAAACCAAAAACTCTCTCTAGAATTTAACTCCAGCTGTTTGTATATTAAAGTTCTCTGTGGTTAACCAAACGCCAACCTCAACATAAACATAACCAAGCATAACACATAAAATCATGGCCGTTCGAACATAAAAACACTTTCGACGCAGCTCGCATTTCATTATGATATTTCACATCGTGTTTTATGAGAACAATAAATACCCACGACAAATGCGTTTTCATCTCCGTAGTTTACCACCAACGAGAGAAAAATAAGGCGATGGAGATGATGGAGATAATGACTACGCTGCAGCGGAATACAACTTGTACGAATAGAAACGAGTATCAAAAGCTCATTCATTTAGAACGCATTAATTACACGTTATTCAATTATTGTGTACAATTATACTACAATACTTTACACGAGACGTAGCGAGGTGCGTGGATTTCTTTTTTCTTGATGAGTTTTACACAACTTTTATATTTTTATTTTTAAATCGTTTTATTTGAAAGAAAAAAAATTTGAGTTGGTGATGTTGCACAAGAACATGACTTATTATACTCATCTCAATCTATGAATTTGTAGAAATAGAATATTATGAAGCAAGAAAAACAATTTTTGGTAAATTTAATTTATTGTTGCAAAAAAGTACGTAAAATGATGTTTTTTACCGAAAAAATTTAAAAATAAGTCATAGATAACATTAATAATATTTTTCAATTATAAAAGTTGTAATTTTCTAAAAGTTACGCAAAATATGTGTATTATGCTCCGCCCACATCAACTTAACCTCAACTTTGTGCTCTTCAATTATATTATTAAGCTTCAATTCAATTTGTAAGTGCATGGCAAACAATTTGCGGCTTTATTAGTGATTAGTTTTGCTCTCTGTGACTATGGAAATCTGGTAGGTGTTGCTGGTATGTCCGTCCACTCGTTCCACTCGCGTTCCACTGGTATTTGATATATGAATTCGCCATTCGTAGGCGCTATACTAGAAATTTATACGCTGCGCGTGCACCAGCACCTGTCTCAACAACGGTATTATCGTATTTATCGTCGGCTGGATTGAGTGAAGAAATAATGCAATCATTAAAATCACTCAGACATGAATTACGTTCGTGCGCGACAACTTTCTGCGCGCCTACTAGTCAACGACATTCAACTTCCACGGAGTCTAATTATAATAATTCGTTGCATTGAATTAATTCCGTTTATGGTGGATAATTATAATAAGTGAATGGTAATTCATTCACTTTTTCGGGGTGCAACAAAGAAAGTTCCATGGAGTTTTCATCAATTTAGGTAATAATAAAGAGGAATTTAAGTGAAAATTGGTCTTAATTTAGAGAATTTATGATTTGGGTGCGTTTTGTTACGATTTAGAGTTGTAACAGAGAAAGTTGCAATCAAATTTTGTTCAAATTTGGTATAATAATAGAGGAATTAGCTAACTAAAAGGTCAAACAATAAGTATTCTGATTTTTTATTTAGTGCGTGAGATATTTTGTGTTAAAATTGTTGTAAAAATCAAATTTCTAATATTTTACTATTTTATTATGATTTTCTTT